ACCATCGTAACAGCTAAGGGAGAAATAAAATACAACCTAGCGAGGTCCTGTCTCAATATAAAAAAGGGCTGGGAATGTAGCTCAGTGCAAAGGCCCTGGGTTCAGCCCCCAGTACTGGGGAAAACAGGATGAACTTCGTCAAGAACTTTGCAACTGCCTCTGGGAAAGAGCTGGTATGGTCCTGTTATATGTAGGATAGTTATATTGAGTTAGGTAGGTAAGACTGGTACTGTCTGTACTTAAAAATTAAAGGTGGTTTAGTGAGATTGGGGGAAATTAGAATTATTCTATAACCTTTAAAATTGTTTGTTAAGGGGGCTGGGGATTTAGCTCAGCGGCATAAGTGTCTGCCTTACAAGCAGGCAGCCGTGAGTTCGATCGCCGGTACCAATAAAAAGGAAAAAAAAATTGTTTGTTAAACACTATTTTTTTGCCCTTTCCACTAATAAAGTTTTTTGGTTTTTTTTTTTTTTTTTTTTTTTTTGTCTTTTTTGAGACAGGGTCTTGCTATGCAATTCAGACTGGCCTTGAGCTCACTTTGTAGCCCAGGCTGGTCTCGAACTTGCAATGATCCTCCTGCCTCAGCCTCCCGAGTGCTGGGATTACAGACATGAGCCACCATGCCCGGCAAAGTTTTTTTTTTTTTTTTTTTTTTTTTTTTTTGTCTTTTTCATTTTTACTGGTACCGGGGATCGAACTCACGACTGCCTGCTTGTAAGGCAGGTGCTTATGCCACTGAGCTAAATCCCCAGCCCCCGGCAAAGTTTTTTTTAATGGAACTTTTTTGGGGAGAATGTTGAGGTAAGGTCTCACTATGTAGCCCAGGCTGGCCTCGAACGGGTAGCAGTCCTCCTGCCTTACCTGCCTGATTGCTGGGTCTCTTAGCTACTTTTCTCCTTGCTAGGACAAAAATACCTGGCACCCAAAGTTAAAGAGAGAAGGGCATATTTAGCTCACAATCTGTGGAGGTTTCAATCCATAATCAGCTGCTTTGGGGCAGGGGGCACATGGCAAAGAGGTAACGGTTCATGGTGGTGGAAAGCAAGAGTTAAGGAGAAACAAGCCTCTTTCTGCCCCTTTATTTTGTCCAGACTGCTGGGACTAGGGCAGTGCCAATCCAGTCAGTGGATTGAACCAGTGATCACCCACCCTTAATCCCAGCATTGCACTTTGTACCAGGGATCGAACTCATGACCATGTGCTTGCTTGCAAGACAGACGCTTGTGCCGCTGAGCTAAATCCCCAGCCCCCTCTGGGGAATATCCAGACCCAAACCGTGACCCTAGGTTTACAGATGTGAGCCACAGGCCCAGTTCCACTAAAAAAGGTGTATTAATATACCTATCATAAAATTACAGAAGCAATCCCGAAGAAAACCTTAATTAAAATTTTCTCGGGCCCACCTAATGCAAGATACCAATTTTTTTTCTTGGCGCTGGGATTGGGGCCCAGGAGCTCCATGTAAGCTAAGATACACCCCTACCTCTGCGTGCCCCCTGCCCCCCCAAAGCCGCTATTTCTCCACGCCTCATTTCTCGCGTGGAGCGCCCTCTGCTGGCAGTTTGGTGCTGCCTTTGTGAAGGGGCAATCAGGAGATGGAGTGAAAGTTGGTTTTTCTTATTTAAGTCTGTTTCTGCCGGATTCATATCCTCCTCTCCTTTTTTGCAGTGAAGGCCCCAACTGCACCCCCAGCACCCATTTTAAAGGTTTTTGTTTGTTTGGGGTACCAGGAATCAAACTCAGGACCTTGTGCTTGCTAGGCAGGCACTATGCCGCTGAGCTATATCCTTGGCCGTGTTAAAGTTTTGACATAGAGTCTTACTAAATTGCCCAGGCTGGGCTTGTGAGTTCAAATTTGCGATTGCTCATCCTCCAAATGCTGGTATCACAGGTGTGTGTACCACACCTGGCCTTTTTCCTGTTTTTCCTTTGCAGTGCTGGGGATTGAACCTAAGGCCTCTGGTATGCTAGGCAAGCACTCAACACTGAGCTACACCTCCTCTCCTTTCTTTCTTTCTTTTTTTTTTTTTTTTTTGTCTTTTTCATTTTTATCGGTACCGGGATTGAACTCACGACTGCCTGCTTGCAAGTCAGGTGCTTACGCCGCTGAGCTAAATCTCCAGCCCTGACCACCAGTTTTTAATCCCTAACAGTGAGCCTGTTTCAGGCACCAGCTGGGGGTGCTCACAAGAAGCAGAGAGCCCTAACTGTCCATTTTATACCCAGAGAAACTGAGTCTGAGAAAAACACACCTCCTAGAGCAAGGCAGAAGCAGAGGCCCGGGGAGTGCTGTCCCTTGTGTGCGTGCCGTTGCTCTGTCCACTGTGGGTATCCAGGTCCTCCCTGCTGAGTCTAAGCACATCTAGAATTTCTCTGGTCACCCATCAGGCTTGCTCATCACCTCGGCTCTCTGTCCACCCACCTGGCCGTGAGCCTGGCCCTGGGCTGCTGGAGCTGGTGCCGGCAGCCTCTCTCAACCTAGAGAACGCGGGTGGGGTATCCCTGTGTTATGAGTTGATGGGTGTCCCCCGATATTCATGAGCTGCATCAGGGAAGCTGTGATATTTGCACAGGTGTGTCTGGTTAATTCCATTTAAGATTACGGTCTCCAGGTGCACCCAAGTACCTAGAAAGGTCTCAAAGTTATCCTTTATTACAGCAGAGTACAACTCCACTGTATTACAGCAAAATACATCCTCTTTATCCATTCATTGGGTGAAGGGCATTTGGGCTGTTTTCAAGATTTAGTGACCACAAACTGTGTCGCTATAAACATAGGTGTACATGTATCACTGTGGCATGATGCTTTTAATTCTTTCAGGAAGAAACCAAGAAGGGGAATAACTGGGCTGAATGGAACTTCTAGTCCTAGTTTTTATTTTATTTTATGTTTTTTTTTTTTTTTTTTTTTTTTTTTTTTTATTTTATGTTTTTTGAGACAGGGTCTAGTAAGGCAATTCAGGCTGGCCTTGAAGTCACTTTGTAGCCCAGGCTGGTCTAGAACCTACACTGATCCTCCTGCCTCAGCCTCCCAAGTGCTGGAATTACAGGCATGTGCCACCATGCCTGGCTAAATCTTAAGTGTTTTTGAGGACTCTCCTCACTGATTTCCACGGTGGTTACACCAGTCTACACTCCCACCCACAGTGGAGAAGGATTCCTTTGCCCCACAGCCCAACCAGCATTTGTTATTGGCTGATTTCTTCATAATAGCCATTCCATTTGGAGTGAGATGGAATTTCAGGGTTGTTTTAATTTGCATCTCTCAAGACCAGTGCTGTTGAGTATTTTTTCATATATTTACTCACCATTTCTATTTTCTATTTTTTAAATCTGAAACATGTCTATTCATTTCAGATGCCTTTTTTTGAGGCAGGGTTCTATTATATGGTTCAGGCTGGCCTTGAACTCACTTTGTAGTCCAGGCTGGCCTCAAACTCACAGCGATCCTCCTGCCTCAGCCTCCTAAGTGCTGGGATTATAGGTGTGCACCGCTGCACCTGGCTTTGAGTTCTTTATATATTTTAGATATTAGTTTTTCAAGGTTGTGAGTTGATCCCTTATAAAAAAAATAGATATTAGTTCTTTGTCTGAGGAACAGCTGTCAATTTTTTCCCATTCTGTGGGTTGTTCTTTACTCTGTTAGTGGTTTTTCATGCTGTGCAAAAGCTTTTTTAATAAGATGAGATCCCAATTATTGATTCTTTCTGATAGTTCCTGTGTGATTGAGGTTTTGTTCATTAAGTCTTTGCCTGCATCTATGTCTTCAAAGATTTCATCTTTCCAGAGATTTAGTGTTTCTGTTTTAATATTAGATCTTTGATCCATTGTGATTTTACTTTAATGCATGGTGAGAGAAATGGATTTGGTTTTAATCTTTGGCATGTGGAAAGCCAATATTTCTAGCACCATCTGTTAAAGACTCTATCTTTCGGGCTGGGGATTTAGCTCAGTGGCATAAGCGCCTGCCTTGCAAGCAGGCAGTCGTGAGTTCGATCCCTGGTACCGATAAAAAGGAAAAAGACAAAAAAAAAAAAAAAAAAAAAGACTCTATCTTTCTTCCAGTGAGTGTGTGGTGGCTTAGTGTATCTGGACTTGTTTCTGTATCTTCTAATCTGTTTCATTGATCCTCAGGTCTGTTTTTGCTAATACCATACTGTTTTTATCATGGTAGCTTGGTAGTATAATTTTAAGCCAGGCATTGTGATACCCTATGCTAAAAGGGGAAATTTGGACACAAGATACAGTGTGAAGGCCACAGGAGGTGAAGGCAGAGATGGGATGCAGAGTGCCATCAAGGTACCAGGTGTGGGGTGAAAGGCACAGAGCAGATTTTCTCTCACAAGTTTCTTGCAAGGAACCAACCCTGCCAATACCTGGAACCTTTCAGCCTCCAGCACTAAACACTGTGTAGTGCAAGCCCTAGTGACCTCATACTCTGGTAGGAGATGGTAACTTGTGTAAGCCCATCTGATATGGACTGGGACATCAAGAAGGGCTTCCTAGAGGTGATGCCAAGTAGGGCACTGAAGGATGGCTAAGAGTTTATCAGGCAGAGAAGTCTGTACAGTCCGAACACTGTAGATGGAGGAGAGAGTGTGTGCCAAACTCAAGAACCTCTCTGAATATCTTCCTTGAAACTCTTTGAATTTCTCTACTAATGCCTTCCTGTGCAAGCCTCTGCGATCTGGAAACTCCTTTGCTCCAAGACAAAGAAATAAGACTTTTTTCTAAGAGGCTTGGGGGCTCAGGCAAGGGCAAGTACCTTTCTCACCAACAGGGGGCGCTCACGCAAGCACCTTTGCGTAGGAGCGGCTGTTGGGTGCAGGCAGGAACCGGCTGGCATTACTGGGATTCAAAGCCTCTGTCCTGGGGGCAGCCACAGCAGCTCAGAGGGTCCACGATGGGCAGCTCTGTGCCGGCTCGGGGGAGGTCGCCCACGACCTCCCACCCTGCAGGGTCCCCACCCACCCTGCAAGGACAGGCATCTGGACACGTGGCCCCGTACAAGTACTTTATTTCCATTACAATAGTGCCACACCAAAACTACAGTAGCACGAAACATCGTAATACAAAAAATAGATCCCCAGCCCCTGAACCCCACTTCCGCGTCGGTGTACCCACAGACAAGCCAGCCCATGGGCCTAAGGGGAGGGAGCTCGCGTGCAGCTGCCTCTGCGTCCTGCACCTGCGGGCCCTGCCCTGCCCTCAGCACGCCCTGAACAATGGGGACCACGATGACCCTGGCTTTTGGGGGCAGCTGACGTTTCCAGACTGCCCCTCCACGGTTGAAGGCAGGGTAGGGGGAGAGGAGGTGCCGGGGGTGGGGGTGGGGGTGGGGGAAGGGCTGGGGCTGGGAAGGGCGCCCCTCTGTGTGGCCTGCCCTGGGCTCCAGCTCCTTCTCTGGTTCCTGTCTTGTCTTGCCTCTGGAGAGCTACCAGGCCTTGAACTTGCTGGCCTCGGATTAGGCTGTTTTCAATCCCCTGTTCCTGCTCGGAGGCTGAGCTGAGGTTAGTTGCTGGGTTGCCTGTACCTCGTGGCAAGGAGCCTGGCTTCCTGGGCCTTGAGAGGGCCTGGCCAGGGACACTGACGAGCTGCCCTGCGTGCCTTGAGGCTGGCCTCCTCTCAGCATGCAGTAGGGCCACACTGAGCTCCACCTGGTGCAGCCCAGGCATCTCCTGCGGGAGAAGCTGTGGCCCCAGGGAAGGAGGAGATGACATCTTTGACCCCCAACATGCTGGCTGCCTGGGCTTGGGGGATCTTCTACAACTTCTGGCCAGTGGCACCTGCACATCCAGCTACCCGTACTGTTGGGGTCCATCCCAGGGGACTTCAGGGGCTGCAGCAAGTTCAGGGTGGCTGACTCCTGACACCCAAGGCCACTGCCCTGGGGGCAGTGAGGGTGACTCTGTGGGCACCAGGGTTCTGCCAGGACACTCGGGGGTTCTGCGGAGGAGGCTAAGGGCCTCTGGGGCAGGGCTGTCTCCTTGGTGGTGCTCTATGGCAGCCTCAATGATAAGGCACTGGTGAGCGGGCCCTGGAGCCAGGCCAGGCCGGTGCGTGGCAGAAGTGGGAGCTTTCAGGAAACTAAAGCTGAGGCCCGTTTTCTTTTCCCCCTGAAAGGCAGCAGCCAGGCAGTCTGAGGTGGCTGGGACAGTAGGCTGGGATGGGAGGATTGCTACAGAGGCAGCAGGTCCCTGGGACAGACATGGGGTGACCAAAAGAGGAGGACGGGAAGAGGACATCTATGGACAGCCGTGCATCTGATGGGGAGGGTCAGCCCAGGGGGTGACCAGGGTCCTCAGGCACTCTCTGCTGTGTTCAAGGGCCCTGACATGGCCCCATTCTGCTGCGGCCACCAGTCCCTAGCTGCAACATTGAGCATCAGACCTTCCTCGCTGGGGTTCCTATGGTTGGACTCTGGGGATGGGGGCTGTACCCATGAGCAGGGATCCCAGTTAGCCCCCTGCCCGCCCCCCACTCCTGTCTGTGCGGGTGATGGCAGAAGCTGGGCTCGCATACCCCAAAGGCTGAGGCAGCTTTATCTGGGGACCTGCTCAGCAGCTTGAGGGGTCCCTGCCTCAGCCCAGCTTCCAAGTGACAGGTACCCCAGTGGGGGCTTCTTTGTCCACAGGTTATTTAGAAAAACAGAACATAATAAATATACCAATCCTTTCCTCAAAAAAAAAAAAAAAAGTGTTTTAAATGCATTTTTTTCCCTGAAGATTTCCAGTGTATTCCACAATGTTTAAAAAATAATTTCCCCAAAAATATATCTTTAAAGCATTTGACACAGTGGTGCTTGTGGTATATCTGGCACTGGATGTGGGTGAGGGGCTACGGCCCATCACCCCTGTCAGTGTGGGACCCAGGCCTGGCAAACATCAGCCCGACACCCAAAAGTCGCTAAACTGGCGCACAAGTGCCCAGGATGACAGGTCTTCGCGGGGATCAATCTTAGGTAATGCTGAGAACATCCATCACGGGCAGCAAGGTGACAGCTACAATCCCTCCATGTAGGGAAGGGGGCTGGGCAGTGTCCTGGAGGCCAGCGGCAGGGGGCAGACTGGCAGCCCTGCCCCAGGACTTGTCCTTGGCCTCTTGCCCTCCTCCGCCGTGGCTCCCTGTGCTCTGTCCCTTACCAGACCTCACACTTGTGACGCGGGTTCATGGGTGAGCCAGGCGGGCATTGGAAGTGTTCTGAGAACTCCTTGGAGTTGGAGAGGGAGCCGATGACCCGGAAGCGGGAGGGGCTGTGGGGGTCGGTGATGAGGCCTTCGTGGGAGCTCTCTGGCGTGCGGACCGAGCACCAGACCTGAGGGAGTAATAGAGAGGAGCTGGGGGTCCCTGAGGCTACCAGATACCACCAAAGCAGCTGAATGAGCCCCTCCCCTGGTCCTGGGATCCCAGGACATCAGGAGGGCCTGCCGGGTGGGCAAGGAAGAGCCAGGAGCTGGTGTGGCCTCACACCTGCACCTTAACACAGGTGCCCCCGAGCTGCGTCCCCACCCAGCCAGAGCAGTGTCTGTGTGTCTGACCCATCTGCCCTGCATCTCATCTGAACTGGGGATTCTGCCTGAAGACCACTGGGAAAACCTTGGTCAGCCTCATATTTCTGGGACAGGACACTCTGTCTAATGGCCTGGTAGCTCTAGAAGCCAACAGAAGGCCGTCGGCTGAATGCCAACTCAAGGGGCGACATAGTGCTATCTTTGGTTTAAGAAGTTTCTAGAACCCCAGAACCAGAAGGGACCTTAGCAATCACCCACTGGACGCAGGGTGCTTTAATCAGTGCTTGGGGCCTCTCCTGGAGCATCTGAGAACCCGAAGCTCGCCTGCATGTAAGGACTGTCCCGCGGACAGTGTGACAAGCACAGAACTTGCCTTTGGCTCCAGAGCTCTCGGATCCTGGGCCCCGAGATGGCAGAGTGTCCACGTTTGGCACTAAGGACTCACCTGTGCGAAGCCTAGGAAGAAGAGCTGGTTATTGGTGAGGCCCAGCGTGGGCAGCGTCTCCTCGGCTCCGTTCTTCTTCACCCAGTTCTGGTACGCCTGGTGGGGGGGGGGGTGTCAGTGCAGCGGGCTGGGGGAGGCCGGGGGAGGCTGCACCCCAGGGCGGCAGGCCTGCCTAGGGGAGCCTCTCCTTTCCTGCTCTGGCCCCCAAGTGCACATGGTTAGCTCCGAGGCCTTTCCCACCTCAGCACTGCCAGCTCCAGCCCCTTCCCTGATTTATATATTCAGCTCCCAAGCTGGACATCCGAGCTGCATCTCACACTTCATGTGGTACAAACAGAACAATGAGTGCGCGCGCGCGCACACACACACACACACACACACACACACACATACACACACAGTTTTCCCATCACCGCAGATAATACCACCATCTACCATCTCCTCAGCTTACAGGGCCAAAAAACTCAGAATTCCTCTGCAGCTCTTCTTTTTAGTCGAAGCAAACATCCTAAGTCTGACCCCTTCCCAGCATCCCCTTGCTTCCCTCTCGCCTGCTCGGCTGGCCTGCCTGATCTGATTCTGATTCCCTCCTAAGTGGGCCTCTTAAGGCGGGCTTGGCAGACCTCCCAGAGCGCGAGCGTGGAGTATCCAATTTCAGCTTCGTGGCTCACAGTCCCTGTGGCAACTGAAACAGGGCCTTCACACTGGGCTATCTTCCTAGCCCTTTTTATTTTATTTTTTATTTTGAGACAGGCTCTCATTAAGTGGCTAAACTTTGTAGGCTGGTTCAAACTTGCAACCCTCCTGCCTCAGCCTCCCACTGTGTGGGGATTAAAGGCTTGTGCCACCAGACTGGGCTGCAACTCTGCCCTTACGGTGCCCAAGGAGCCACACCTAGCCTGTGAACCAACATGGGTAGCCGTATCCCCTAAAACTTCATGAAAACAGGCTGAGAGCTGGATTTGGCCCAAAGGTTTGCTGATCTGTTTTCAAAGATGAATTAGATGTCATTTTTCTGCTTGGGGACCCCACAGGGGTGCACCACTGTAAATAAAACAGAATCCAAGGCCAGAAGGTCCCAGTCCCGGCCCTCTCGCCCCTACCCTTCCTCCCGGCTGTGAATGGCGCCACCTGCTGGCCTCTGCACCTGCTCTCCCCCTGCTGAGCCCATTTCTCCAGCTCCTCCTCCCTCTATCCAATGGGGTCCCCTCAGGGGGCTCCCTCTCCTCTTCCCTCCACTACCCTGCATCACTTTGTGCTGTTTTTTCTTGTTGTTTGAGACAAAAGTCTTGCTCTGTAGTTCACACTGGTTTTTAAACTTGTGTCAATCCTCCTGCCTCAGCCTTCCGAAGGCTGGGATTTTAGGTATGCTCCATCATACCTATGCTTTGTCCTGTTTTTTTTTTTTTTTTGTCTTTGAGACAGGGTCTCATGAGGTAGCTGAACTCGTGATCTTTCTGCCTCAGCTTGCAGAGTGCTTGGATTACACCAGCTCTGTCCTGTTTTATGCCCCTTTTCTTCTCAGGGCCCGGCGTGCTCTCCTGCCTTTGTTTAGGTGTGTACCGCCCCAAACCCCGCCCCCCCACTCCGTGCCAAGAGTGACACCCCCTCCAGGGCCTGGCTCACATCCTTCATGCCTTGGGGACAGTGCAGGCTGGTGGAAGGCTCCAGTTCCTCCATCTGCAGGTGGAGATGTGACTTTCCAGTTGTAAAGCTGCAGGCGAGGATGCCCGGCCTGTGTGTGGCCAGGCTCAATGCATGGCAGCTGTCAGTAGTTTTTTTGTTTTTGTTGTTGTTTTGAGACAGGTTCTCTTCATGCTGGCCCTGAACTCACTATGTAGCCCAGACTGGCCTCTAATTTGAAGTCATCCTCCTGCCTCAGCCTCCTGAATGTTGGAATTACAAGTGTGTACCACCACGCCCAATTGGTATTTCTGCTGTCATTGTCACAGGAGGAGCTTGGTGCTGCTCTGACAGTTTCTTCTCCCTCCAACTCAGCTGGCATCTTTGAGTGGTCCTGTGAGCCAGGTTGGGTTGGATCATCCCAGTGACCCAGTGGTGCAGTGTCAGGGATGTGCAGTCAACTAACAGGTGCTCAGGAGGACTTGAACCCAGAACTGGCTTAGCATCCAGTGTCACTCCCTCCCAGGCCTCTGCTGGCTGACATGGCGGTGGCTTCCCTGCAGAGACAGCTGTAAGACCTGCAGGTGCCCAGGCCAGCTCTTCCCCGCCTCAGCCTGCCCTCAGGCTTCCCTGCCTCAGGCTTGTGCAGCTGAGTTCTGCACTGGCTGCTTTCCCTGTTAATTCTGCATAAAACCTCACCAGCCCCACTGCTCAGATGTGGAAACTGAGACACCTGGAGCCGCTGCAGGTTGCCTAGGGTATCTATGCTGGGCCTCCACTGTGGGGACCTGGCGGGGCAGCGTGGGGATGCACACGCACCCGATAGGCTGCTTTGAGGCCCCCGTTGTCGGCGATGTTCTCCCCGAGCGTGTGGCGGCCGTTCACGGGCTCCCCGTTCACGCTGTAGTTGCTGTACTGCTCCACCATGCACTCCGTCTGCTGCTTGAAGGCCTCCACTGAGGAGTTCTTCCACCAGGGCCGGAGGTTGCCGTCCTTGTCATACTCCCGTCCTGCATGGAGTGGGGAGAGGGGCGCTGGGACCCGGTTCCTCACCCGCCACCTCACCCCAGCCCAGCTGGTGCAGAAGGCGTGGCCAGCTACAGCCTGGGAGCACAGGGTGGGGTGGGGGTGTGAGGCCCACTGCCTCCAGGAGCTCGAGGCAGGCACGGCCTCAGCAGGGCAGGTGGGAGCCCAGCTCTGTCTGAAGGGGACCGCACGGAACTGTACCTTGGTCATCAAAAGCATGCGTCAGCTCGTGGCCCACGACGACACCGATGCCACCAAAGTTCAAGGCCCTGGGGGTGGCGAGGGGTACAAAAGAGAGGGTGATGCCCAGGAGGGCTGTGGGTGGTTGCCCCGTACACAGCCTTTGCTTCCCAGCCCGGGCCACAGCGGAGTCCTGCAGGGCTCTGTGGGGACGTGCCCCTGAAGTTGGTGCAAGCTGGGTGCCGCCCAAGGGCTCCCCTCACCAGAGCTGGGGCGGGGGTGACAGCTGAGCAAATGAGGCTGGGGACCCCCGATGCTTTGCCCAAGGGCCACGCAGAAATCTGACAGCTCGGCAGGATTTGTCCTGGGACCGTGCAGATTTCATTTCTGGGGCAGTGCCCTTGTGCCTCCCAAGCCCCAGTGCTGACTGTCAGGAACAATGTCTCCCCTACCCTGAGCCCTGGGCTCCCCAACCTGGCTCTGAGCCGGGAGGCCCTGGGGGGGAGCGGAGGGGGCGGGAGCTGTTTCCTCCACCCCTCCCTCAATGCCAGGCTACCTGGGCTGCCAGGCACTGATGGCCATTGGCTGGCTGAGTGGCCACGCTGGGGCCACAGCACCAGAGACACCTACTTGGGGGAGGAGCGAGTGTAGAAGGGCGCCTGCAGGATCCCGGCGGGAAACACGATCTCGTTCTTGGTGGGTGAGTAGTAGGCGTTCACCATGGGGGGCGTCATGCTCCACCTGCAGCGACAGGCAGGCGCACTGTCAGGGCTGGTGAGGACATCATAGCTCAAGCCTTAGAGATGTGGGCGCTCTCTGGCCCAGGTACCCAACTGCAGAAGCAGCGGTTTATGAAGCTGCGGGAGCCCGGGCAGGGCCCAGAGGTCTCCAGTCCTTCCCCAGGGGCCTTCCAGGAAAACCACTGTAGTTCCAGCACGCAGGGAAGCTGAGGCAGGAGCACTGCAAGTCTAAGTCTGAGCAACTTAGTGACTAAATGACAGCCTGTCTCAAAACATTTATAAAGGGCTGGGGATACAGTTTAGTGCAAAGGCCCTGGGTTCAACCCCTGGTACCACAAACAAAACAAAATGAAACAAAAGCACACACTGTTTTCACTCAGAACACCCTGGAAGACATAGCATGATTTTTTTTTTTTTTTTTTTTTTTTTTTTTTTTTTTTTGAGACAGGGTCTCGCTATGCAGTTCAGGCTGGCCTTGAGCTCACTTTGTAGCCGAGGCTGGTCTTGAACTCTCAATGATCCTCCTGCCTCAGCCTCCCGAGTGCTAGGATTACAGGCGTGAGCCACTACACCCGGCTACGTAGCATGATTTTTAACACCACTAAATCTGGACCCCCGGGTCTTTTTAATACTCCATGTGGCCAAGTGGGAAATACCTACATGGCACATCTCTTTGGACGGGACAACCTTGCTACTTTTGGGATGATTGACAAACTGGAATTTTGGACTTGGATACGGGACAGACATTTTTCAAAAATGTATAAAGTAAGTCTATTATCTCTGGGAGAATGCCAGATACCATTTATTGCCAATGATATATGTATATATATATTTTGGTCAGTGATAAAAAAATTAAGATTTCAATTTGGGCATTGTGGTGCATGGCTGAAATCCCAGCACTCAGGCTACAAAGTGAGCTCAAGGCCAGCCTGAACTGCCTGTCTCAAAAAGACAAAAAAGAAAAAAAAGCTTTCAAAAAAAATCTAAAGTTTCAAACAAAAGTTAATTTTTTTGAATTAAAAATTTTTTTGAGACAGTATTGCACTATGTAACCCAAACTGGCCTTGAATTTGAGGCAGTTCTCCTGCCTCAGCCTCCCAAAGGCTAGGATTACAGGTGTGCACCACTGCATTTAGCTGAAGGTTAGTGTTGAAAAACCTGTATTAATTACCTCAAATCTAACTGCTTTCTTGTACTTAAAAGACTCTTCTTTATTGGTTATTGTGGTGCATACCTGTGACTTTTGGCTACTCAGGAGGCTGAGGCAGGAGGATTGCAAGCTTGAGCCTAGCCTGGCCATCTTTTTTTTTTTTCTTTTTCTTTTTTATCGGTACTGAGGATCGAACTCACGACTGCCTGCTTGCAGGGCAGGCACTTATGCCACTGAGCTAAATCCCCAGCCCCTAGCCTGGCCATCTTAGTGAAATGCTGTTTTAAAAAGTTAAAGGGCTGGGGTTGCAGCTTGGTGACACAGCACCCATGAGTTTGATCACTAGTTTGATCATGGGTTTGTCTGGTTGATTTTGTTTTTTTTTTTGAAATAGGGTCTCACTATGTAGTTCAGGCTGACCTTGAATTCCCTATACAGTTCCAGGCTGGCGTGGAACTCTTGGTGATCTACCTGCCTCAGCCTCCTAAGTGCTGGGATCACAGGCTACTCCATGTGGCACTGTACCCGGTCCCAGTACCTTAAAAGAAAAAAAAGAATACTTTTCCAGGGCTGGGGTGTGGCTCAGTGGTCTTGTCTAACACATACAAGACCCTGGATTCAGCTCCCAGCAGATACACAAAAAAAGTCTGAGAAAAATAAAACAACGTCTCTTCATTAAATGTTTTTTATAACATTTAATTTTTACATTTTTACTTTTCATAAAATCAGTATAATCCACATAAACAAAAAAAGCTTTATGGGATTCTTTTTTGTTTTGAGACAAGTTCTTGCTATGTAGTTCAGAGTGGCCTTGAACTCAGTGTGTAGATAAGACAAGGCTGGCCTCGAACTCATGGTGACTCTCCTGTCTCAGCCTTGAAATGAGATGACATGCATGAGGTGCCTGGCTCAATCCTTTTTTTTTTGAGACAGGGTCTTGCTCAGGCTTGCCTTGAACTCACTATGTAGCCCAGACTGGCCTCCATCCTCCATCATCAGGTCATCCTCCTGCCTCAGCCTCCTGAGTGCTAGGATTACAAGTATGTGCCATCGCTCAGCTTTAGATTTTAATTAGGTTTTTTCTGTTTTTTGGTTTTTGGTACCAGGGATTAAACTCACAACTTCGCGTTTGTCACATAGGCACTTAGGCCGCTGAGCTAAACCCCTGGCCCTCAGCTTCAGGTTTTTAAGGATACTGAGAGGTAGACTAAAATGTTCAACACTAACAGTACAATGTAATGAAATATTTGGCATTTCAGTTATTTTCCTGGTACAGAGAGGAAGGAAGCGAGGCAGAAATGATGTTTTCTCTAAGAACATTGACAATCAATCCCTTTGTCTCAAGGTAATCCTTACAGAGAAAGTCAAGAAATGCCCCCAAAGGAACATAAAGATTTTGAGAAATTTCCTGAATGTGGTAGCACAGACCTATACTTGGGAGGCTGAGGCAGGAGGACTGCTTAAACCCAAGAGTACAAGGCCTGCTGGGCAACTTTTGTTTTTTCTTTTTCTTTCTGTTTTTGTGGTTTTTAAAAATCCATTTTATTTCAAAGAGGAAAAAAAAAGAAAAATAAATAAGACAGAAAATTTCAAACACATTAATTGGAGCAACAGTGTACCTATGTTGCGCATTGTCATCCCCAACTCACTCAGACAGAAAGCAGAATTTAAGTGAAAAACTTGAAGTTAAAATTTAAAAATCCAGATAAAACTGTCCGAGTGCCAGTACCATACTCTAAAGGTGAAAGCCACGGTCTTACACATTTGGAGGAAACCTCGGTTGAAGAGGGGAAAAAAGAGATGTTTGAACCCTTGCTGCCCACCAGGGGGAGCCAGAGGCAAAGAGAAGTTGCTTCACCATCTGGTAAGATTTGCAAAATGAGGCTGAGTCGGAGCTGACTACAGCTGACAAATTTTCTGAAAGGACTTATACTTTATTTTATTAAAACAAACCTAGATATTACTAGATTTATTTATTTATTTGGTGCCAGGGATTGAACTCACGACCTCATGTTTGCCAAGCAGGCACCAAGCTAAACCCCTGGCCTTTCTTTTTTTTATTTTTGGTACCGGGGATCAAACTCACAACCTTCTGCTTGCCAGGCAGGTGCTTGCGCCACAGAGCTAAATCTCCAGCCCAACTCCAGGTTATTCTGATTTCTGAAGGCCAAGCAGGCACTCTCTACCCCACTGAGCTCCACCCCTGGCTCAGGTGCTTATGGGTTTTGAAAATGTCCTTCAGGGAGTGCTGAGTCCAGTGAGGCTGGGGAGGCGGCACTGTCAGGGCCCATCCAGAACCTTCCCCAGGCTTCAGTGGGAGGCCTGTCCCCGAAGAGCCAGCATTCCTATCCCTGAGAAGTTACAGGACTCAGCCCTGGAGGAGGGCCTGGCCCTCCCCGAAGCTCTCACATCTGATTGTCACCATAGTCTTAGAAGGGCTCCTACCAGCCTATCCTGCAGATAATGAAATGAAGGCTGTGAATGCCCAGGCCATAGATAAGAGCTGGCACACGGTGTCACATACACGCAGCAGCACAGGCCTGGCAGGCTGGGGGCACAACCTGGGGCCTGTAGCAGCCCCTGGCTGGGGTCCACGTTGGCCTCTGGTTTCATCTGCAAAGTGGGATAATGCCAGGCTCCACCCCTCAAAGGCCTCTCCTGATTGTGTGTCCCCATGTGGGGCAGGAGCCAGCGCCTTCCCAGCAGGGCCCAGGGACTCACTGATCTCTGTTGGGGGCTTTCCTGAGCTGCTCAGCAGTGACTCTCCATGAGAAGTTGAAAAACCGCATGGCATTCTCAAAATAGAGGTCTGGAACTGCTGTGTACTGGAAAAAGAAGAAAACGGGGACACAGGTCACAGCACCCCCAGGCGGGGTACACTTCCTAGTGCCAAGGAAACCGAGATGTTGCAAGGCTAAAATTGCTCTGTAAGCTGAAGACAGGGTGGAGGGTTTGGGGCTGCCACTACCTCCCCGCTTTGAGGACACAGTAAAGGCTCCTTCGCTTGGGGTACAGACAGTGTTACAGGGACGCCCCTGCAGCAGCACCTGGGTCTTAGGCAAGAAAACAATATCTCAGTGCTGTCTGACAGGCTCACAAGGATGGACTCATTCTGTACTTGTACTGGCTAACAGGGAAGAGACTGTAGAGACAGGTGAGCTACTGGGCTTTTTAATTTTTTTTTTTTGTCTTTTTCCTTTTTATCGGTACCGGGGATCGAACTCACAACTGCCTGCTTGCAAGGCAGGCGCTTATGCCGCTGAGCTAAATCCCCAGCCCCTGGGCTTTTCAATTTTAATTTAACTTTTTTTGGGGGGCAGGAGGAGGATCGAACTCATGACCTTGCACTTGCCAGGCAGGCAGGTGTGTTGATGAACTTAAATCCCCAGCCCTAACTTTTAATTAACAAAACAGCCCTTGGCAGCCAGCAGCTACCACAGGACAGGGCAGGTGCAAAGCCCTGAGCTGGAACCTGTCTCAGGCAGCAACACCACACCTTCCCCTCTAGACAGGTGTGAAGCTCTGGCCTAGATCCTCTGCACACCTTTCTACCTCTGCTAAACACCGGCCCTCAGGGAGGACCCTGGCCCCAGCGCACTGCCTGGGCGACCTCCACGAGCCCGGATCTTGCGTCCTGACCCTGAAGCATCTTAAATTAGCCTCATGGAATGAGGTCGTGAGAATGAGCCTCGTGTTCCCAGAAGCAATTTTGAATATTCTTAGGTTTTAAATATAACCATGATGAGAGGTTATTATAATTTCAGAAATGCCTGGATTCACACATTGCAATCATAAGAGGAGACAGTGCTTTATCATGTGGGGCAAAGGCACAATCCGTTGAAAGGATGAGTGATTTGCTGAAAGGGTAGCAATTACCCTTGTTGTCTATATTAAGCTTAAAAAGGCACTTGGGATTTGGTCTGCCTCTTTCCCCAGGTTTAGTCTAAGAGGGTGGTGAGGGACCCCAGAAACAGGAGGCAACTTGGGGGTGGGAGCAGGCGCTGTGCAGGGCTGCACTTTTTACTGCACTGTGGTGTTTTAGAGCCATCAATTCTTCCCACACCCCTGCACCTTGTAGGATCTGTATCTCGCCTCCCCTCCCCTCCCTTCCCCTCCCCACCCCTCCCCTCCCCTCCCTCTTTTTCCTGCAGCATTGTAGACTGAACCAAGGGCCTTGTGCATGCTAAGCTCCCTCTACATCCTGGCTGTACGCCTGGTCACCCCGTTACCTCCACTCATTCAGTGGAGCTGACCTTTCCCAGTGGACCCACAGCGGTGCTCCAGATGGGCACTGCCTATTGCCTGATGGTAGTTCCAGAGAGGCAGGGCTTCCAGCTGACCCCAGAGATAAAGGAGTAAAAAATGGCTTCCTCATGCCCAGCCCACCCCCAGGCCTTACCCCCATCACCTCAAGATGTCCACAGCCACGCCACCTTCAGCAACCCACCCGGACCCAGCCCCACCTCGACCTTTCCCGAGTGAGCATCTGGGATGCAGGGGGCGGGCGGGAGCCACTCACGTCGTTGAACACTTTGTCCAGCTCCTTGGGGTCCATGATGAAGTTGGGGTAGCCTATCATGTTGTAGATGGCATCTGCCTGGACAGGAGGGACACAAGGGAGGACGTGAGCACCTAGCAATGCTGGCCTGGAGGCCCAGCTCTGCAGCTCCAGGCCCAGCGTCAGCGGGGTAGGGGTGGGGCAGGAGAGGAGCGGCAGAGGGGGAGGCAGGGGGACAGCGCCTGCCTACGGCTCTCCTATTTCTTCTGGAAGATTCTCCTGTTGCCTAACCTCTATCTGTCTTCCGGGTCTCTTATTAGATGTCACCTCCCCAAGAGAAGCTGCTATGATTTGAATCTGTCCCCAGTGTGCTGGATACTGCATCCCCAATGTCACTGTGCAGACAGGAGGAGCCTTTAAGAGGACAATGGGACCCGGAGGCTCCGCTCCTGTGCGTGGTTCATGCCACTTTGTGGGAGTGGGGCAGTTATCACAGGGGGGGGCTCCCGGCTCCCCTCCTCATGCGTGCACGCCCCGTCATGGGACGTTTGCACAGTCACTATGAAGTCAGGGACCTCAGGCTGTCTCCATCCAGCTAGACTGAGTTCCCAGGGCAGGACAGCCTCCCTGAATGCTCCTGGATGCCTCACCTTCTCCTTGGCTGATTTCCGGGTGTCTTCATCCATCCACTTCAGGGTGCTCAGGCTCTCCTCAAATGCCTTCTTGATCTCCAGGATTATCTCGCTGGCCTGGGGAGACAGGAAGGGCTGGGCTCCGGCCTTACCTACACCAGCGGGGGGCCCGCCAGGGGAAGACACCGGGCGCAGACCAAACTCAGGTTTGGCTCAAAGCCTCGGGCTACGAAGGGCAGCCCCGGTCCTGTTTCTGAACCAGGTCTTCACGGTAACCTCCAGCCAGACTAGACTGGGCTTCCACAAACGGTAGTGAGATAACCTGGGACGACCTCAAAAGCAGGAAAAGTCTCTGCTGTGGGACTTGTCAGCGCCTTTCATGTGGGATTCTGGCTAGTAAATGTAGCTTCTCTCAGACTTACTGGACCACAGAATTCCTTTTGGACAGAATGAGTTTTAATATTAAGGGCTCAGTTCTGAAGAGCAGTTTCAGAAATGCCAAGTTCACACTGGAGACAAATGGCCGCTCTGGAGGGTGACAATCCTGTGGCCAAGTCAGAAGGTGGCAGATTCGAGAGAAGGTCATGGCAGAGCCACGCAGCAGAGAGCGCCCCGGGGCTCTGGACCATGATGTTGACCCAGATTCTTCCTCAACTGCTTACGGGAAAGTGGTGAACAGATCTGAGTCACAGTTTGCTTCCCTCCGGCGACACATAATGCTGGTGCAGTGCACACTCTGAGCAACGAAAACTCCACCAGTGACCCCACAGCTGCCACCTATTAAATAGTACTTATTTTGTGCCAAGGGCTCACTATGTGTAGAATCTAACTTCACCTCCTTGCAACAGGGCAGTGACAGGGCAGGATCTGAGCTGAGACTGTCCCGGTGTGCTTAGTGGGATAATCCTTTGCCTGGCCAGAGTTATCCAGAAGTTATCCAGAGTAGGAAAATGGTCACCTCTGGGCCGGAGCTATGCTGTCACTATCTCCCTGGGGCTTTCTTGGACCTGGAGATGGAGATGGCTGTACTGACCCCACAGGGTCAATGGAAAGGTAGCTCGCATCCTCTACACCTCGAGGCTGCCCCCGACTCTTGGCCTGGAGCAGACCACAGGGAGGCCCCTGCAGGAGGGACGTCAGGGCCTGTACCCACTGCATCCTCGAGGGAGACTTACTATGTTCTTGCTGTCCTCAGCAAAGGTCGCTTTGACGAACATGGGGCCCAGGGCGAAACCCAAGTTGTTCTCCGTGTCACTCACGCAGAATTTCCAGCGGGGGAGGCAGGTCTGGAAAATACAAGAGAAAGACTCACTGGCTCCCCATCCTCCTCTCTCTCTGTCCCCTTTGGAGGTGGCACTTCCCGAAATTTCAGGGAGACGGAGTTTCCCTGCCCCAGGGAACTTATTTTGGGCCACTCCCTGCCGTTCTCCAGTGCCGGGCCTCTTTACCTGGCACTCTGCAAACTCTGAGCCATCAAATACGCCCGCGGGCGGGGGCTACAGGCTGCTGGATGGAGGGGGAAATGGAAACTCTGCAAGGAGAGTCGCTGGCCCAGGTCCCACAGCTGGGGAGAAGTGCTGTGTGGGGGCCTCAGACATGCCTGACGGGATGTGATACTCTTGAGTGGATTAGGTCCACCGATGGGTTTATAGCTACACAGACGTTGGGAAGTGAAGCCCGCTTGGAGGATTTGGGGCATGGTGACGGTGGGGGGTGGCTCTCCTCCCTCTCTCTGCTTCTCGCCAGCACGCCGTGAGCTCCTTTCCTCTGCCATGCCGCCCTGCCTTGGCCCAGCTGATGCTGGACCGAAATCTACGAACTGTGAGCCAAACTAACCCTCTCCACCTTAGACCTCTGGTGTCAGGTACTGTATCTCAGCAATGAGAAAGGAACCAAGGCGCCCTCCCGACCCCTACCTTGTCCTGCTGTCTGGAGGACACTAGGAAGTTACCCGAGCGGCAGGAAACTTTCCCAGAAAGGTTCCCACCTGTTGGTTTGTCCTTGCTCTTACCCATGAGCCCCCATGAATCCACGCACACCTCTGTGTGAACCGGAATTGGGTCTGAGGGTGCAGACCTCTGGAGCACACAGCATGCCAAATGCCTGAGAAAGTTCCAGCCCACTTGTCCCCCTGCCCGGGCGTCCTTCTGTGGACAGTGTGAGCGACCACAGTGGTGACCCTGTTCCCAGAAGTCCTTCCTGCTGCAGGGAGAGCTGATGTCCCCCCGGCCCCACAGAACTGGGTAACAACCTCCCATGCTCAAGGCAGCTGGATTGTACCAGCTCCAAAGTGCAGACAACCCAAATGCCCATCGGCAGGCAGATGGATAAACACAATGTGGTATTTTTATACAGCAACATTCTACTTAGCAACAGAAAGGAATGGACTACTCGCAGATACAACAGGGGCGAATTCCACACACTTATGCTGAGCACAAGCAGCCAGGCACATAGTGATGATTCTGTCTGTGCCCACCTCTATCTCAGGAGACTTGGGGACCTGCAGGAAGGGTGCACAAGAGAACTTTCTGCTTAGAGGATGTTAGGTAATCAGGTCAATTCTCTGTATTGGTTAGGTGATGGTTACATGGGTAACTTCACGTCAAAACTCATGTGTACCTACACAGTTCAATACTGTATATTTTATTGTAAGTATTATGTTTTACTGAAAAACATTTCTTCTAGAAAAGGAAGGAAGATGGGCAGAGTAGTCTTCTCCATGTGTGGTTCCCCAGGTTCGTTCCAGCTTTCCCAGCCACATGTCCCCAGGCAGGCCGCCTCCTGCTGCTCCCCACCTGCCCTTCCACAGCTGGGAAGCCCACAGCTGGACACATCTGCACAGGATCTGGCCACAGAGGAGGTCGTGGCTGGGACTTGAACTCTAAGGCTCCATGGGGGATCAAGGCCATGTTGACTGAACCCTGGTTCTTACTTGCTGTCTTTGGGGTGTCTGTGTCTGGACCTGCTCATTCACCAGTGCATGCATTCTCTGGGCAGTTCCGCTGTGCCGTGACGGGGCTAGGCCTCAGGAAACTAAAGCTGAACACACAGCAGGCTTGTCCTTGAGAATTCCACTGGAATGCTCAGCCACCCAACAGGAGAGGCAGACGTGCCACCACCCATAACCATGGCAACAGCAGCCTGCTGACGAGCTGGGTGTTACCGTGTGCCAGCTCCATCCCGTCAAACGCTCATAGGAGGCGTATGGGTGGAGATTTTCTTTGATCTTTTTTTCAGGTAAAGAAACTGGGGTAGAGACAGGTTAAATCACTTGCCCAAAGGGGTCACTCAGGGAATAAGTGGCTATGGGAAGAATCTCTAAAAGGAGTAAGGAGTGGAGTGTGTATGTGTGTGTGTGTGTGCATGAGTGTGTAAGCCACCATCTCAAGGCCACCATCTGGAAGCCACCTCTGAGAAGAGAAGGAGTGACCAGCCAGTCTCCTCCGCCCTGAACTCACCGTATTTCCCTTTCTATCCTCCTTCCAGTGTAATACAGGGGCCACTAAGCGAGGACAGGCGAGAGGGGTTTAGAGCTGGGCCCTTCCTCTGCTGAAACCGGCAATGCATACACAGATAATGGCAGATGACCAAGCGCCAATGCAGGGTCCTGTAGCCTTTGGGACAGACTTGACACTGAGAGGGTAGCCAGGGCAGTGGTAACTCCCCCTTTTCACAGATGAGAAGACTGAGCCCCTGCCTCACTTGAGCGATTTGCCCAGGTGGGTGGTGACAAGCATTTCACACTAGAATCTCTGACCCCAGATTCCATGCTGTTTCCCTAAGCGAAGCTCTGTCCCTACTGCGTGAGCACTGCTGCCGGACACGGGATGGCCATTTTTCTGGACAGAGGCCAGTCCCAAGGGTCCTGTGAGATGAGGTCAGAAACTCCCAAACTACAGATGAGAAAACTGAGGCTCAGAGAGGTTCGAAGACTCCCCCAGGTCACACGCAGGCCAAGGATGGCATGCACTCAGGAGCAGCCTCATGGAGGAGCAGGAGAGCCTTGGATTAAGAAGCCAGCAAGCAGCACCCACCAACCACACTTCAGCCTGGGGGTCGCAACCCTGCTGCCCTCTTGCTGCCCTGTGTCCTGCCCACTCTGCAGGTCAGCGTGCAGCAGCATCCTGCACTCTGAACTGGGCTTTAGGAAGCTCATTCTACTAGTGAGTTCATTTTTTAAAACTGTGTAAAAATCCACGTAACATAAAGGGTCGCATGTTAACCACCCTTTTCCTTCTTTTGGGGTGCTGGATGTGAAACCGGGGGCCTCATGTGTTAAAGTGCTCCATCGCTGAGCCACAGTCCCAGACCCCATCTCAACCGTATTAAAGTGCACAATTCAGCAGTGTTAAGTACGTTCACAAGGATGGGTGTGGTGGTGCCCGCCTGCAATCCCAGCACTCAGGGGGCTGAGGCAAGAGACTGCCACAAGTTTGAAGCCAGCTTGGCGTGCACAGCAAGATCTTGTCTCAAAAAAATAAATAAATAAAGGTATGTTCACATTTCACATTGCTGTGCAACTAACTCCTAGACTTCTTCCTGTTGCAAATCTGAAGCTGTCCTTACTGGACAATAATTCCTCCCTGGTCCTGCCTTGGTCCCCAGCAGCCATAGGAAACTCAGTTTTTGGTTTGCTTCCTGTAGAGCTGTGGCTGAGAGGTACACACAGCCCGCTGGGCAGGGGCCATGGAATCAGAGGTGCGTGCGAGCCCACTCGCCACTCACAAGAAACTGTGAACAAGTGCCTTTCCCTCCCTGAGCCCCAGTTTCTTCATCTATAACCCAAGAGGGTAAAAGACACACAGGTGAATCCTCTGCACACAGAACAGCATCTGTGACCGTCACCCTGCAGCTTGTGCGGACCCAGCTCAGATAAAGTCCCCTTGAGACAACTGCAGGTCATGCTGGGTTATTGTTGCTCCCCTATCAGAGAAGTCAGCCCCGCCCAGGCCCAGCTTTCCTGTATGTGCCTTGTTTCTTCTTAATCTCCCGTCACCCCCTCTTAGCACCCCACTGGCGTGCAGGTCACAGGGCAAGTCACGACATACAGGCTTAAATACTGCATGGTTTCTCTTTTTTTTTTTTGTCTTTTTCCTTTTTATCGGTACCGGGGATTGAACTCACGACTGCCTGCTTACAAGGCAGGCGCTTATGCCGCTGAGCTAAATCCCCAGCCCCCATGGTTTCTCTTTTATGAGAAACCCAAAGTATAGCCATTAAATGAACAAAATACAAGACAATAGGAAACGGGGATAGATCTTTTGCAGACCATGAGATGGAAGGAGCGGGGAGGAAAGGGGTGAGGAGTAAAAGGAATCAAAATGTGTTATATATATGTACCAAGTCCCTGGCCCAGGGCTTGGCAGACAGTAGGCGCTTACTGTATACACACTAAGTGTATATTGTATACACAGGAGTACCAGGCTCACCTTTTTGGTCCCGTACATGACTTCCATGAACTTCTCATCAGCATCTTGAAAGCGCTGGTCAAGGAAGGAGCTTGTTTTCCGCACCAGGTTCCAGATCATGTAGTTGTTCAGCAGGCTGGGGAGAAGGGACAAGGGACCCACTGGCTCGGAAGCACCCTGCACAGCCTTTCCCTCACTGGCCCGCAGCAGCCTCCCAGGCTCTGCTCCAGCCTGGCTGGTCCCTGCTTTCTCATCAAGGACACTGATGCAAGCCCCTCAGGGGTGAAGACTGGGTTTTCCACCAGAGAAGGGGCACATTGCGCAGAGGTAGGCAGAGTGCTTGCTCAGCAGGGTCAAGGCCCTTGGTTCTGTTCCTGGCACTGCATGTGTGTAACACAATACAACACAACACAACACAACACAACGCAGAAAGAATGACCCTTGATGTCTAGTGCAGTCAGTCACCTGGTTACCACAGACACTCAATAAATGCGACTGCAAGCTGTTCAATTTCTGCGTGCCGTGAGGCGGCTACTCAGGGACTTGGGGACTCACTAGGATGGTGTGTGCTAGGGTGGAGGTGGGGAGGAAACTCCAGCCAGCTGGGTCAAAGTTTTCATGAATGGCAGCTCCCCTGCCCCAGGCCAGGGCATAGGGAACTTGGCTGTGGCTGCCCCCTGAGTTTACAAAGAAGTCACCTCAGCATGACGATGGTCACTACAGTGAACACCCGGCCTCATCCGGAACCAACCTTAATGTTTGACAACAGGGCAAGGGGGAAGGAAATCATTGTATTTATACTCTGGAATACTATGTAACCACAAAAAATGTTTGCAGAGTTTGGCATGACACAGGGAACATGCTTATGGTAAATCAAGGGCAAAGGAGACCCTGTCTGGAATGTGACAAGGTTAGTCATGATGGTGGGAGAAAAGATCCACATGTTAGAAACCACTCCACCATGTTGCTTCTCTACAGATGCACACACAAAAACATACTCATCCTATATGATCCAGAGTAGCGTTGATCTGAAATTTTTTCCTACTTTTTTATGATTTTCAGCATCAGTATAAGTCTTTAAAACTAAAAAAAAAAATATCATGCAGGGAATGGTGTGCACACCTGTAATCCCAGCCCTTGGGAGGCTGAGGCAGGAGGATCACCACAAGTTTGAGGCCTGCATACTCGCTACAAAGCGAGTTCAAGACCAACTTGATGGGGGGGCTGGGGATTTAGCTCAGCGGCATAAGCACCTGCCTTGCAAGCAGGCAGTCGTGAGTTCGATCCCTGGTACCAATAAAAAAGAAAAAGAAAAAAAAATTAAAAAAAAAAAAAAAAAAAAAAAGACCAACTTGATTTACATAGTGAGACCATGCCTCAGAAAAAAAATTTTTTATTTTGGTTTCAGGGATCGAACTCATGACCTCGAGCTTGCCAGGCAGTCGCTTATGCCGCTGAGCTAAATCCCCAGCCCTCAGAAAAATTTTTAATGGGCCAGGAATATAGCTCAGTGGTCCAGTGTCTGCCTGATAAGCACAAGGGCCTGAGTACAAAAATTATTTTTTTGAGACATCACATTTATGAGTCCTATTCTGAGTCAGGCATTGTGTTAAAATCCCTTGCATGGCTTATTTCACTTGCAGCTGCCCTAATGGTGGGTGCTATTTGCACCCCTGTTTTATGGATGAAGAAATGACTCTGAGAAAGGAAAAGAAACTTGCCTGAGACTATAGCGCTGCCAGGAGAGGAGCCAGGATTGGAACTTGTGCTTATAATCAGGATGCCTTTCTGCCCTTCATCAAGGCCCATCCAGAGCCCATTTTCCAGATTCGATTTGTCATCTGCTGCCCCGCCCATCCTGTCTGAGCGGATGGCCACCTGCTCGGCCATCCCCGGCCTCCGTGCCCCCTTACCATTTGTCGGTGGTGTTGATGAGGGTGGAGACCTGCTCGAGGTACTCCTTGTCGTAGACCACAATAGGCTCGGACTCGTTGATCTCCACGGGGTAGAAGATGGTGTTCAGAAAGGGCAGCCAGTTGATGGCAGGCGCCAAGGTCTGCAAGGGGAGGGGACAAGGGGATGCTGGCGTCATTGTGCCTTCTGCCCTTGGACAAGGACAAGGTGGGGTGGGGCAGGCAGAGGCTGCCCTAATGGCAGGGATGCTGAGGGCAGCAGCCTAAGGAACCAGACATCGGCGGCGTTTCAAACTTGACGTGGGACTAAGAGGGCTTAAGGGAACAGACAGCCCCTGCTCACTGCGCCCTGCCTGTGTGATTCCAGGTTCCGAGGAGGACGAGGCTCCAGCAGGCCTCTCGGTTAGGGATCCAGAGCCAGACTGCCTGATTCCAGCTCTCTGCTTACTGCTATTTCTGTCAGTTACTGCAGTCAGTTTAATAAGCCCCTCTGTGCCTCGGCACCTCATCTAGAAACGGGAAGCCCCATGCGAACAGAACCTAGGCACGGGTTACTGCGAAGGTCACAACAGCCCTCGCAGTCTGTTCTGCTTAATGGGAGCTCTTGTAGCATCGGGTGCCTTCGGGGAGGAGCGCAGCCCCGAGTATAAACTGCGGGTGTGGCCTGGGAGCCAGAAAAGCAAAAGTCGAAGAGAACCTGCAGTAAGAGGAAGAAGCCTCCTGCTCAGCCCCTGCATACATAGCAGGCCTGGTGGCTGAAGCCGTGTCACTTGGGAGGCTGAGGAAGGGGATCCCAAGTTCTAGCCTGGACAACGATTCTGTGTGAAGCTCTGGGTTCGTCCCCAGTACTGCAGAAACAAAACAAAGCTCTAGTCTCACCTGCCCTACCCTCGGCCCCTGCAAACAATCATCCTATATTCTGTCTCAACTTCTGTGAGTTTCATTACTCTGGGAACCTCATATAAGTGACATCGCATAGTATCTGTCTGGTTGCTGGCTTCTCTCATGTAGCAAATGTCCTCGAGCAGAGCCTTACAACTTGGAACGCCTGCCCCAGCCTCTGCTCTCCGTGTTCTGTACATTCCCGAGTCCTGTTATTCTTAGTGTGCAGTTTTACAGAATGTGAATCTTTTCAGGGCTACCTACACTGCGTTTTAGCAAAGATGCCTGTATATGCCAATCACTTGGGTGGGCACCTGTCATTTAGCAAGAAATCCATCAATGTTAATCTTCACAGTCATGTCTTCCTAGAGTGGCCCTGGCCCTGATGAGTTTCAAATTGTGTTCTCTGATTTCCTGAAAGAGGGAAAAAATGTAAGAAAAATAAAGAAAGCGAGAGAAGCATTTATGGAAGACAATAATGCAAGGTCAATCTCTAATATCAGATCAATCCACAGCCTGTTGGTGAAACACAGAGTCCCTTAGTGAGCAAAGCATGCCCCCCTTAACAGAGGCTGAATCTGCAGATGGGGTAAGGTGACCTGCCCGAGGTCACGGGTAATGAGGTGGGGGTCTAAAACTCAGGCTCTGGTCAGACGTGGTGGTACGGAAAGGAATGAGCAAGTCCCAGGGCAGCACTGGAAGGATGTCTGACTCATGACTATATTCGGCTGAAACCAAATCTCCAGCTACCAGAGAGTGAGACATTTTCTGTCTCAGAATGCAATGATCAAATTAACTTGAACCTGGCCTGCACCTCAGGTCGTGAAGGAATAAAAATTATGATATTATGCTTCTACTGGCCCTGTCCTGTGCCTGTCCTAACCCTTGCACTCCGTGAGCAGGCCAGGCAAGGCAGACACTGTTTTTTGTTTTGTTTTTTTCAGTAGTGAAGATTGAGAGGCTTTGCACTGAACCTCAACCCTATTTATTTATTTAGTTTTAAAATTTTGTGACAGGGTCTTGCTGAGGTACTCATTGCCTAGGCTGGGTTTGAACCTGCTATCTTCCTATCTTAGCCTTCCAAAGTGCTGAGAGGTCTCACGAAGGTCTCACAAAGTCACTAAGTTTCCAAGCCTGGCCTCAAACTTGGGATGTTCCCGTCTCAGCCTCCCAGAGTGGTGGTATTACAAGCATGCACCACCATGCTTACAGGGCAGAGATTCTTATGCCAGACTTCAGGGGCCAAGACTTGTTTACCTGTTGAACCACTGTCCCTAGTGAGCGCTGCTATGTCTCACTGTCTCTGGGTTCTGACACAAAGCAGGTGTGCGTCGTGAGGAAGCAAAGGCTGATTTTGCCAGGAAGGAGGCCAGGGCTCACAAGGGTGAAGTATGTGACTTGCTCAAGGTCCCACGGCTCGGTGCACTCCAGCTGCTGGTGGCAGCTGCCCTTTAGGTCCCCAGGGAGCCAGGGTAGCAGGGTGAGTGGTGCCCAGTGGGTTGTTATGGAGATCTGTAGCTGCCATCCGGTACCATCTGGCACTGTTTTTCCACCGAGGCCAGGAGGTCGAGAGAGATGCTATTTGTGCGGCATAATTTGGTTTGCCGCAGCTGTACAGATCTTAGCCTGAGAGATCTCCTCGTGACCTCACAATGGCCATGACACTGGACGTTTGTGCCAGAGTGGTGGAGGTGCCACAGTAGCCCAGGGCAGGGAGCCCATTGTGGCCACCAGCTTCTGACCTCCAGCATCCTCTCCCCATTGCTTCTGTGCTCCACTTCTGTGGAAGAAAGGAAAGGCCGTGCCTCTCTCCCCACCGCACTGCTGCCAGGGAGGACCCAGCAGGGGGAGCCGCCCGCATAGAATAGGCTGGGCACAGTCAGAAAACTGCTCCAGCCTGCTGGAGTGCACCGAGCCGTGGGACCTTCTAGGCCTCTGGGCACTGCATCCCTTGGGACACCGCCAGCCTGGCTAACGTGCATCTGTCATTACCTTCCCTCACCGTCACCACTTCTGGCCCCAGAGCCCAGCTGCTTTTGCCCAAAGCACTTGCAGGAAGACTGTGATTGCTTCCCACTGTCCCCTACTGGCCTGGAAGCACAGGAGAGCAGGCCTAAGAGCCTCTGGCTCTGTCACTTGTCAAATGGAAGAGGAGAATGAAGGGTAGGAGGACCTGGTGCTCGGCCTGGGCAAGGCAGAGCTGGCAGAGAAGCAAGAAGAGAGGTTGCAGAGCCTCAGCCCAGGAGGCTCCGCCCCTAGCCAAGCATTCTCCCTGATGACAAAAACAGGGGTGCCAACAGAGGCCATCCTGCTGGTGGCACCCAGAGCCCCAGGGCAGGACAGAAGCAGGGGGTGCCCAGGAGAACGAACCGTACGCAGTCACCTCGAGCAGCCACCAGGGGGCAGCCTTGCTTGTCCGCGCTTCCGGAAGCGCAGGTCTGTCTCCCACGTACTCCTCTGGGATGTCTCAAGGGACAAGGTTAGGAGCTAAGCTTCAGTGAGCCAAGCCCGAGTTCTAAGGTGGCTCCTCTGTCCCTTGGTAGTGCCTGGACCCTCACCATGTCACTTAGCCTCCTGATTCAGGAAAGACAGAGGCAAGGACACCCCACAGCTTGTGTTAATTTCTTACTGTGACCAGGCGCTCCCCACGTGAGCCATTACTGTCATGACTAACTAGGGAGTCTCCAGGTGAATGCTGTCACAGACAGCAGCCCCATGCAGGCAGGGCAGGAGCCTAGTTTTGGTGTCAATACTATGTGGCCTTCAACCCAGCCTCTCTGAGTCTCAGTGTGGCCTCTGTGATGTGGGTCTAACCACCATTCTTCCTCCCAGGGTACAAACCCCTAGCTCAGGGCCCCATCTGAAGCCCAGCAGCTGGCCCAGCCTCTACAGCAGGGCGCAAGGTACCTGCAGTTCGGCAGCTGTCACTTTGTGATAGATGAGTTCCTCATCCCGGCGCTTCTCCTGGGGGATGGTGATGTTGGCCAGCGCCGTCTCAAAGTCCAGGATCTGCTGCATCTGGGCCCGGATGGCATCCTCATCCCCCCCGCCCAGTAGCTTCCCCAGCTGGACCATGTAGTTCAAGTATCCGTTCAGCACCTGTGAGATCCAGTACCCCAAGATGGTCAGTAGCTGCCACTTGGGGCCCACTGGGCCAGCGCAGGTAGGGCAGGACAGGCCTGACTATAGCCCAGGACTTGGGGCCAAGGGTTGTACTTCACCCAGGGACCTGCTGGAAATGCAGCTTCAAGATATTTTTGGGAAGATGCTGAGGATGGGACCCAGGGCCTTGGGCAGTCCAGAGGTGCTCTACCACTGAGCCTCATCCCCAGCCCTGACAATGGTTTTGGGGCTCTCTGCTTGCTGGTTGCCCACAGCCTTAAGGATAAAGCTCAAACACCTCTGCATTCCCACATGTTCCCCAGGTTGGCTGGTTACTGCCATCGGGACCCCATCTTTCAGTGCGTTATCCTGGGTCATCTTGCTGCTTTGGGACGCCCCTATTTCTCAGACCACACCCCCAGAACATCTCAGAGAACTTCCCTAGGTAGAGCACTAGCGGGAGGATTAGAGGCACTGTACACAAAGGTCTAGAACCCTCCAATGGTGGTGGCTGTCACTGTGGCCTCTCTCTAGAATGGGGACGAATGACACCTATCCCCTCTCCCTTGTGCCCACAATGTCTGAACATGATCCAGTCAGCCTAGGGCATCCCTCTCCTGCCCAGGGCCGCCTGTCACATGAGGAAACAGACACTGCTGTGCTCCTTGAGGTGTGCTGGAGGTGGACACCTGGGAATACTCACAGCAGGGCAGGGAGGTCCATGCAGTACTCTGGGGAGCACACTCACCTTCTCATTTTCAGTTTTGTTCAGGTAATAGTCTCTGGAGGGCAAGCCCAGGCCAGACTGGTCCACCTGGAGAGGACGGTGGCAGTGAGAGGGAGTCCCCTGGATGTCCCCATGCGGGTGCCCACTGCACACTCTCCGCCTGCAGGGGAGGCACTGGCACATGGCACGAGGAGGCCAGCTTGGATCCCAGCACAACAAGCTGGTAGCTAAAGTCACTGATGGACTCCATCCAGAGAACGGACAGATATGCTCCTGTTCAAACACAGGGTCAGCTACAGGGATGCTGGGCCCTTTTAAAGGGCTGGACAGAGCCTCCCTCCTTTTCAGGCACTTCGGGGCCTTGGCGGAGCACAACTATTTCACCAAGCAGCAGCCGGGTGGTTGGGAGCCACCACAAGCTGTCTGACAGGGGCCAAGTTACTTAACCTTTCTGATCTGCAGATTCTACATCTGGCAAGTAAGTGAGCTGAAGATTCAAGGAGACCCTGCTGGTAAAGGGTCCCCGGGATGCTGGGTAGGTAAGAGAGGGTCAGTTCTGATAGCTACTGTTGGAGCCTTCTGGCTTCACCTTGAGATACCGCACTGCTGTTACAGCTCATTTGGTTGATGAGGAAATTGTAGCTCAGAAAGGTTGAGCTACTTGTCTAAGGTCACATAGCGGGTGACTGACAAAGATAGGCTAGGAATTCAGCCTTCACGACTCCCAGTTTAGGAGCTCCCCTCTCTGTGCTGATCCTCAGGCTGGGGTGGGCTCTGCCAGGGAGATATGGATGCAGTACTGCGTGTGTGTGTGTGTGTGTGTGTGTGTGTGTTATTCTGGTCTTTGCACTAAGCTACATCCCCAGCTCTTTTTTATTTTTTGTTTTCAGATAAAGTCTCATCAAAGTTGCTAAACTGCCCAGCTTGCGGCTGAATTTGAGATTCTCTTGTCTCAGCTTCCCAGACAGCTGGGGTTACAGGTGTGCACCACCTCCCCCAGCTGCAGTACTGTTCTAAACAGAGCCACAAAGGCCCAAGGCTAAAGTGGGGAGCCGAAGTGGCTTCCACTGTGGCTGCGATCTGATATCTTACATCCCCTCTGGAGTCTACAGTGGGCCACGGATCGCACGGCAGCCTGCACCCGCAGAGTCTCTTGCTTGCAAAAACCTCAACCCGGGACTGGCAGAAAGATCAGAGCCTGCACTGAGCCCAGTGCCGCCACCACCCCAGCCGGCACTCATCGTACTTTTAAAGAAAGAGGCTGTGCCCCGTGCTCTTCTGGGCTCCAGGCTGCTCACCTGGATCACGTTGCTGTTGGAGTTCTTGGAGTCAGCACTGACGTAGACGGAGAAAAAGGGGGAGGTGCGGTAGTGGGCAGTGACCACCTGCAGGGTGTCCTGGAAGTTGTCCTTGGCCCAGGGACCTGTGATGTTCCAGCCACCGAGCTGTGGGGAGGGACAGCAGGTTGGGAGGGGATGTGGTGGCTGCGAGGCCTGTATGCAAATTCTGGCTCTGCAGCCACCTTGCTCTGTGCCCCCGAGTAGCCACCTGACCTTCTGAGGTGTCCAGGGCAAATGACAGGACAGTCTTCACTCGGGGTTTTTGAGCTGAGCTGGAGCCTCACTAGTGGAGGCAATGAATCTGTGGTACTGCTCTCCGGAGGGTTGGGGTGGGGCTGGGAAGAGACTTTGCTCTGTACCCTGTTTACTTTTTAAAAACTGATCACGTGAATGTAATTACTAGGAAGACACAATTTAATTGTGTTTATTGGGGGAGGCGCTCCATATTTTGAAAAAAGCTTTATCTATGGTTCACTTTAGTCCCTCTCAAAGTTGGGACTTTTCGTAACTGCATTGAACCTCCCTGGCATGGCACACACTGGCACAGGTGGCCTGGACCAGAGAGGAGGGACTAGGACAGTCCCAGTGCCTGTGGCCACCAATTCTGCTGCAAGACCTTCCTGTGGACAAGCCAGGAGGCCGGGCCTTCAAGGGAGCACAGGGCAGCCAGAACACACGCATGCCCACCTTGGTCATGCCAGGCAGCTGGGCCAGCCGGGGGCAGCCCTCCCGCCTGACGGGGATGTGCCCAGGAGAAGGAAGGAGTCTTCCCGCTGCCCTGGTGTAAGGAGAGGCCTTGAGCAACAGGGGCCTCCTGACTGTGACTTGGAGCACCATCTGGCCCAAGAGTCTGGGAGCTTCGGGAGCAACACACAACTCTCTACATACACACACAAACACCCTTCAGCGCGTGGAGAAGGGAACAGCATGGAGAGGAAGAATTCCTGTGAGCATGTTCCTGGGCCTGACACAGATGCACCAACAGACATACACAGAGACAGACGTCCCAACAGAAGCCGACACACAGCCAACACATAACACACAACACAGCCCCACCCACACAGACACACTCACGCCAGGACAGGCCCCCCAACACACACGGCAGACAGACGGGCTCCTCGCTTTGGCGGGGCATGAGGTGGCTGAGCCCCAGTGGGGCCGAGAGCTGGGGCAGAGCCAGACGGGTGGGTAGGAGGAGCTGCCAAGCCTGCCCCAGGGACCTACCTTCTCAATCAGCTCCATCAGGGGCTTGGCCCTCAGCTCCTCGATCCTGGTTTCGTTCATACACGCTCGGTAGTATACTTGGGCCTTTCTCTCTGCCTCACTCACGCTGGCTGTGGAATTTTCTAGAATAAGCGATAGCAGAACATAGTTCAGTGGTAGAGCATTTGCCAAGCATGCATGAGGCCGAGAGTTTAATCACTAACACTGCAAAAGAGAAAACAACTGAAAAAGTCATATGCATTTAGAAGTATTTCTGAAAACTTTGCTGGACATGATGTTACACAGCTATATCCCAGCTACTCCGGAGGCCAAAACAGAAAAATCACAAGTTCTAGGCTAGCCTGGGCCACTTAGTGACACCTGCTTTCAAAACAAAAAGGGCTGGGGCACAGCTGAATGACAGAGTGATGGCCTAGCATGCATAAGGCCCTGGGTTCAATTCCTAGCAGTACACACACACACACACATTAGAGTTTGTGATTCTGAGGGCTCCTGGGCTACTCCCTGGGGCCTTGATATCCTCAGCTATAAAACACGAGCCACTGTAGCTGCTGTGGCAGCCGGAAAAGCTCAATGCCAGGGAGTACAAGTGTCCCTGGGTTGGGCCGGTGACCTGGAGGTCTCCCAAAGCCACCTGACTGCCCATCCAAAGGGGGCCCAGGCTTCTCTCTCCTTGCCATTCCAGCTTATAGACAGCAGCCCATGCCCACTCAGCAAAAGCGTCAGCTCCCTGACAGCCAATGTGTGCACTGAGCCCTCTGCCTGATGCGTGGCGTGGAGGCTCGCCATGATTTTCAGAGCCCAGCTGATCTTTCTTGTGAAAAAAAAGACGAGTTGGATAAAGCTTAAAAGGCTTCTTTATAAATGGACTTTCCATTTCCTCCTTGCAAGGGCCAGGCATGGTCGCCAGATTTACAGATGACTCAAAGGACTGTTATCCACTCCCTCCTCCTCCCACCCCAAGCTGGGCTAGCAGCCTCTTATCCATCCTGATGTTCACAGAGCTTCTATGACGCCCAGGATACCTCCTCACCCATCCCCTTCTTAGCACCCGGCTCAGATGTCACCTGATGTAGGCTTAGATCCTGAATGCAGCCAGCATGGGAGGTTCCCATCTACACTGGATGGAGGGAACTATTGCCAGCTGCTGTGGGCCTCAAAGCACCTACTATGTTCTGGGGATCCTGTGCCTGCCTCAGACCACACCAGATTCCCCGGGTCCCAGACACCTACCCTGTGCCAGCCAGGGTGCAAACTCTGGAGACATAAAGGACAACATCCATGTCCCTACAAGGTTCCTGCATCCAACCCTGTTAAACCCTGGCTTGGCTTCTAGGCCTTCTCAGTGACCCAAAGCCTCTTCTAAGATGTTCATTCCAGAAAGTGCTCTGCATTCTGGACTCCTGCCAGGTGCCTGGCACTAGGCTGGGCACTGAGTTTTAGAGACAAAAATAAAACTTGCTTCCTGCCCCCAAGAGCTCAGAGTCCAACAGTGGACACAGATATGCAAAGGAACACTCACAAGACACAAACATGCTCTGAATAATGCAAAGTCTTCCAACAGAGAAAAGTCACCCTGCTTGATTGTAGGACTAGGCAGAGGTCGGGGCTTCCAAGGAGGCAATTTAAGCTGCATCTCAAAGATGGAAAGATGTTCACCAGCTAAGAATGAAGCCATTGCTTAGGAGAGCAGGAGAGAATGGGGCCAAGGAAGGGGACATAAAAGGGCATGCTGTTTGAATAAATTTGTTGATGCCACTTTGTGCCAAGGGCATGAGTCACTTCCTATCTAGTCTTTACCCAGATTTCCCAGTCCTCACCGCAGAGAGTTTGCTGTCCCTTGGTTTTAACGCATAAGTAGCACCATGGCCGTCTCTGGTCAGAGTGCATCAAGGCCCAGTGTCTTTGAAGTCAAAAAGACAGCCCAGGACCAGCGCCGGTGTGGAGGGAGATTCAGAGGCAGAAGGCCTGAAGCTGGGGGCTGCAGTGACCACAGGCTGTTGTGCTGCAGAGCCCTGGAAACATCCATATGTTCTCCAGGTCCTCCGCTGAGTGAGAGCGGAAATGGGGAGAGCTGGTTCCTCAGACTCAGGAAACAAATCTTGGAGTTTAAGGGGGAGTTCCCACTCTAGGGGCCTCACTTCTATGGAGGGAGAGCAGGAGAACCATCAATGCTTGCCACGTGTCGGAAGCTGTGTCTTGCTGTCCACATCTGGTTCTGGCCATGACCCTGAAATGCCAGGGCCAGTGTACGGAAAGGCGCTCTGTGTACTGGCTCGAGGGCAGACCTGGAATCTTCCTCCCCCGGGGCCCCAAGGTCACCTCGATAAGAGGTCAGAGAAAGGCTTCTGAGGTACAGCGTGGCTCAGTGAGTCCAGAGTTGCATGTCAAGGGCATCCAGCCCCTTCTCCTGGCACCTGGCAGGACAGACCCTCCTTGAAGTTCAGCCTCCCTCTGGCCATGGCAAGGCTGCCCCCGCCAATCTCAAAGTGCTCCACGTAGCCTGGTGTCATATTTGCTGGCTTTCCCAAAGCTGCTTATTAAGTTCTTAGTGTTCAGCAGCATCCAGGCTAGGCGTGGGGGCCACACAGGCCTGTCTGTATGAGGCTTGCAGCCCAGTGGGGAGAAAGAGAGAGACAACCAATCAGCTAGGTACACTGGAGGCTGGCTAAAGAGAAAGTGACGAAGCCAGGAAAGAGGACAGTGGGGAGGACTGTGAAGGTGGCCCAGGGAGCCCGGCCGAAGGGACGAACGAGATCAATGTAGAGATGGAGCTGGTGCGGGGCCTGGGCTCCCTCACGGCACACTCTGTGTTTCAATCACTTCTATGTCCCCAGAACTAATGCCAGATGGCACACAGTAGGCTCTCAGCAACATGTGCCATGAGAGCAGGGTGCAGTGTCCAGGTTTAATGAGGCAGGACGTTGTATCAGAGGGAGATGAGGCTGGTGTCCTCTGAAATTTGCATAGAGAGGAAACAAGAGCGGGACAGGCAGGACATGGGCTTGGCTGTGGGCTGGCATTCATGCCCCTCCAGCAACATCTTGCCTGCAGCCCACAGTGACACTGGCCGGGGCAGGAGCCCTGGAAGCAGGTTCCTGGAGGCCATGGGGACAACCCACAGCCTCCTCTTTTTCCTCACTCCTGTGACTTTGCAGGGGTGCAAAAGACAAAGCAAGAGACCAGGTCACAGGGAAGGAGGCTACTGCACCAACTAGGTAGGCAAAGGCCCGGGGGCAGGAGTGGTGACCCGGAAGGGGCAGGAAGTGTTTGGGCTGGGGGAGAAAGCTGTGTGGAGAGCAGCTTTCCTGCTTCTCGGTTGAGCAAGGAGCTGTGGAGGCCAGGGGTCGGCGGGGTGGGCCTAAGAAATAGAATGAGTGAGGCAGTTCCAGCCTGAAGTCCAGTTTCCGACACTGGGAGATCTCTATTTGACACCCAGGCGAATGCTGACCCGGGTGGGGGGCACATCCAGGGTGGTATGGAAATGATCTTGTAGCTGAGGGGCAGATGACAGTGCTCCTAGCTGCCTGTGGACTTCCTTCCCAGGACCCCCAAGTTCCAGAAACTTTCTCAATCACTTCCCAGAGTCCCAGAGAGGAAAGACTGCACACCACTGAATCAGCCCACTCCTTCCCCGCACCCCTCCTAGGGGAGGAGACACACGGGGGCAGCTGGGATGGGCTGGGGAGACAGGATGACCAGGAATTCTGCGGCCTCCCTTGATGGAGTGGGACTGTCCAGCCCCAGCTCCACATCACAGCAGGACCTGCGTTTGTTTTATTTTATTTATTTATTTATTTATTTTTTTTTGGTCTTTTTCATTTTTATCGGTACCAGGGATCGAACTCACGACTGCCTGCTTGCAAGGCAGGCGCTTATGCCGCTGAGCTAAATCCCCAGCCCCCCTGCGTTTGTTTTAGATGAAACCACAGACTCAATTCAGACAGTCACGGTCTTGGAAACCCTATCCTGTGAGGGGAAAAAGGGGGAGCTGATAAATGAGGTGCCTTGTTTTTCAGGAGAAGAAAAAATAGCCACCACCATTACCACCTCCTGGTGCCTCCTACAGGCCAAGTCCTGTGTTCCGATCTCACCTCATGTGGAGAGCCTGAGGCAGAGATGGCATTTATCAGCCCATTTCAGAGAAGGGAAAAATGAGGCCCAGGGAGGTGAAGGAGGGTGAGGAGATGCTCTTGGAGGCAGAACTAATAGGTGTAGGCTAGGCTTCAGGCCCAGGCAGTCTTAAGCCTCTCTGAGAAAGGCTCCTCTGCCTCCTCTGGCTGTGGCTCTGTGTGTGCACAACATCTTGTCTCTCACACACACACACACCACAGAGGATTCCCACAGTGGCTCTGATTAGGATCTGCCCAATCTGTAGGCAAGAGACTGGATAGCTTGCCCAGGTAAGTGGCCGAGGCCAGGATTGCAGGCCAAGTCTTCCGCTCTCCTGATTCTTCTTGCAGACTTGCTTGGAAATCAGAGGCAGGCCTGGGACAGCCCAGCTGCCCTATAAAGCCTCAGACACCCCCTCCCCGCCTAGAATCAATGGGTCCATCCAGCCATTCCCAACATAACAGGCACACTCACTGCAGTAGACATGACAGCAGACAGAGCATTTAAAGGGCAGAGCCTATCCCTAGAGGGCAGGAAGAGAAAACTCAAGCAGATGGTAAATATTGGGAAAACATATCAAAATAAAACTCCACGAGATGACACATGGTGTCCTGACTCGTTGCCAAATCATTTCACGCTATTGCAGTAGTGCGTGTGTGTTTCTCAGGGAGACGGGTGTCTGGGAGAGAGGGCAGGAGGCAGCTACCTTTTCCTTATGGCATCTGTGTTGCTTCAACTGTTATGACAAGCATGCATTACGCTGTTTGGCATGCACTCATTTTATAGCATAAGAAACTGGGAAGCGACATTGGACACACATACACATGGTGGAGTGTGAGCCCAGGAGGTCCTGTGGTTGCCACAGAAGACAGAACAGAGAACGCAGGTTCAAGAAAGGTCTTGCAGGGTTGGGGTAGCGGCTGGGCAGGCACTCTGGATGTGGGACGATCTGAGCTACCACAGCTGGAAAGCCGGAGGCACGGCCAGGACTAAGGGGTAATTCACCTGGCTGTCTGCTTCCCGATGACGTGAGGTCACACTCTTGTCTCCCCAAAGCCTACGAGGACAGCCTACACAGGCTGCTTGGGGGAAGGCAACTGTGTTCCACATAGCTGAGGTCACCTCCCCCTGGCCAACAGCCTGCAAGGCCAAGCCACCATGGCACCTGCCCTGTTTCAGCCCTGCTGCTCCAGATCCATCTAGATTTCCTCTGAGGGAGCCTGGGTGAATTCCTCTATCAAAGAAGTATGTGGCTTGCCCAAGGTCATATGCCACGTGGATGACGACAGCCTGCCTGGCCGGTGGACACAATCCTCACTGGTACTCTAAACATCCTTCTTCCTTTCTCTGTTCCTAGAAGGAAGGAGCCCAGGCCTCCTGCCGGTCCAGTGCACATCAGCTGGCTCCTTCTCGGCCGCTGGGTAACTTCTTTGTTTTGCAGAAGCTGAAACCAGCCTGGCCTTCAGCCTAAAGCTGCTCAAGCCGCAGCCTGCATTGTCACCTGCTCACCTGCTGCTGGCCCGACATGAGGCCTGCAGGTCAGGGGTCAGCAGTGAGTCTGGGGGGAGGGGACTCCAGGATGTGTCTTCTGGGGAGGCCCTCGGTCAGTGTGATAACTACCGATTCCATCGCGCCTGGCCCAGGCAGCTCAGCCAAGCAACCCTGTGAAAGGGCCCCCTACTGGCTTCTTGGCAATACCAATCAGAGTCTTTGCTGGATGGAGCAATTAGAAAGATCCAGGAGAAAAAGAATGCAGGTTTTGAGGCCCTGCCACTCTGGGTTTGAATTATGGCTCTAGCATTTCCTGAGAAATACATTTCTTTTATCTTTGTGAGTCTCACCTGTGAAATAGGTACATTAGAGGCTTCATGGGTACACCATGAAAACTAAATATAAAAATACAAATAGACTCAGCCTGCCATAGATACACTCTAAGTTACCTTCCCTGAGAACTCAATCCATATCAGTGCTTCTACGAGAAATAAAACCAGCAGTAATTATTCTTCATGTGTACCACTCAATTAATCCTTACAGTACCCTTACAAAGTGATCTGAGGTAGATCCCACTTCAGAGGCAAAGAATTAAGTTCCAGCGAGGCTGAGCGACCTCTCTGCAGTAACACAGCTCATTTGAGAAAGTCTGGTTAGAGCTCACTTCATACCACCCAGAGGTGCAGCTAGCTTTACCTGAGGCTTAGCGGGAGCCAGGCTCTGTGCAAAGTGCTCTGAACCATCTCGTGCAAGTTAACAGTTACAGGGGGACAGGGTGGGATGGACTCAATCTTAGCACAGATTGAACTAAGAGCCAGCTGCAGAACCAGTGAGATCAGGATCCACAGGCACAGTGCACAGGCCTGGTTCGGGGTCTAATTGGGAAGTGAGACAGCTGGTCCCCCTCTTCCCCTATCGGCTCTGTGTGGATTCCAGAGCGCAGCCTTCTTCCCCTGATGGAAAACGAGCCGAGGGTGAGGCTGGGCAGGAAAGGAAGGCCAGGTCTCCAGTCACCTGCTTGTGTGTCCCTACTTGTCTCTAAAAGATGCAGCTCTTTACAGTCATAACTGTCCATTTTGAATAATCTCTTCTCTCTCAGGATTTCTGTCCCTCTGAGAAGATCCCCTTGCAGGTAGCTTTTTCTATATTACTACTACTGAGTCTCTTAAAGACTCAGTTTTTTAAAAATGCAAGTATCTGTCAAATTTTGAGTTCTATTCTTTACCGCCTGGCCTCTCTCCCTGTGGGGATCCCAAGACAAGCAAGATTCAGCAGGAGGGGGTGATGACCAAGGCTGGGCTGCTCAGGGCTTTGAGCTGGACCTCTGTGGTTCTGGAGGAAAGTTCCACGGGGTGGATGGGAATCAACAAATATTAACTAGGCATAGGACTGCAAATGAGACACCTGTGGGTCTCTAACCTGAGGATAAAGCCAACACCTAGGTCAAAAGGACTTTGGCTTATGGCTTATCCTGTAGGCCTGATTATCAGGAAGCCACAGAGACTCCCCTCCATGGAAAATTCGCTGTCAGATAAAACCGATACAACTTTCACTGGACCATGACCTTAAAATCTGATCTAGTGCATCCAGCCTTGGTTCCTTCTACCCACTACTTTCAAAACTCAGTCAGGGCTGGAGATTTAGCTCAGCGGCATAAGCACCTGCCTTGCAAGCAGGCAGTCGTAAGTTCGAACCCCAGTACCGATAAAAAGGAAAAAGACAAAAAAAAAAAAAAAAAAAATTAAAAAAAAAACTCAGTCGGCACTAGTCAAGGACTAACTTGCATCTTGAACTCACAAAAGAAAAAATAAATAAAAAGACCATGGTCGGGCTGGGGATTTAGCTCAGCGGCATAAGCACCTGCCTTGCAAGCAGGCGGTCGTGAGTTCGATCCCCGGTACCGATAAAAATGAAAAAGACAAAAAAAATGAAAAAGACAAAAAAAAAAAAAAAAAAAAAAAAAAAAAAAAAAAATTAAAAGACCATGGTCACCAGCTCTTGTGCACCTGCCATGTGTCACATTGTACTGACATTTACACAAGCGCTCTCCAGGGCTCTAAACTCTGCAGTCTAGGTCATATTCATCCCATCTCACAGAGGAAAAGACTGAGGCTCAGAGATAAATACCTTCCCCAGCAGGATCCCACCGTGAGTGACAGGCAGACACTAACCTGCTTTACCTATTCCAGAGCCTTCAGTCTTGGCATCCTGCCTCCTCTTTGTTCTGACCAGCTCTGCCCAGCCCGGCCAGCGGGTGCAGAGCACAGCACTTCTCCGTGGCCCGTGCCTCGGTTTCTCTCTTGGTGCTTACCAAGCAGGTGCTTGATGATGGCCTGGTTGTGTTCCCAGAGGTTGCTGAAGGTCCCCCAGCGTGAGTGGCCATCAGGCACAGGATTGGCCTTGATCCAGCCCCCGCAGGCGTAGCTGAAGAAGTCCTGGCAGGGGTCTACTGTGGGGTCCATGGAGTTCAAGATGGAGCTGGTCACTGACACGCAGGCCTCACTCAGGCACACTGGGGGTGTTCCTAGAGGGGTCAAGGACAAAGGCCAATGAAGGGTGGGCAGGGAAGAGGCTGTAGGTGGACAGTGCAGGTGACGTGGGGCCTAGGGAACACAGACCCCAATTTAGTCCTGCCCAGAAGGTCTTGGAACAGAAATTAGATCTCTAATGAGAAAATATTTTAATAAATTTATGATCTTCTGGCTTATAAAATAAGACTTCTGTTTAGCTGTTTTCTGTAGCTTCAAAGTACCTGGAACTGGGGTGGGGTGTTTTAATCTTTCTCCCCACAAAGATTCACTGACTACTGTTTCCCGATGTTCAGTAAACATATTCACACATTCCTCTGACCATGTATTCAACAGAATAAAATTCTGAGTGTCTTCCACGTTCTTCTTCATTGAATAGTGTGTGTGTGTGTGTGTGTGTGTGTGTGTGTGTGTGAGAGAGAGAGAGAGAGAGAGAGAGAGAGAGAGAAAGAAAGAGAGAGAGAGAGAGAGAGAGAGAACAGCATGGGAGGTATAAAAGGTAAAGTTTCCTTTATGAGCTAATAATCTAGTTAGGGATAAACATATAAGAAAAGTCAAAAAATAACTGTAGGAGACGCTGCCATTTATTCTATGGAATAAACTGAACACTGACTGTGTGTCCAGAGGGTGATGCCCCAGAGACTGTGCCAGGTCACTGGAGGGAGGGGAGCGAGGCAGGGCAGCCAAAGGCCTGAACCGTGGCAGCCCCGCAGGAGGCAGCAAGATGACCCTGCCTCTGCTCAGCTGAAGGACCCAGGCTGGGCCTCATGCCAGGTGACACGAGGTGCTGAGGTGACAGCAAGGACCACGTCCTGAGTGGCTCTGCACCAGGTGCTTCACACAGGCTCATTGTCTCATCCAACCCTCACCACATGCATCAGATATAGGTGTGATAATCCCGGTGTGAAGAAGAGGAAACTGAACCTCTCACAGAGGAACCGGAAGAAGGTGACCCCACAGCGTGGGACAGCTGAGAGCCGAGCCCGGGCCTGCCCTGGTGCAGCAACTCCAAGACTGCATTTTCCTGCTTCCTCCCCACCGCTCTGCCAGCCATGCCAAGGGCTGGGGCAGCCAGACAGGCTTCCCCACCACACGAGGTGGGTGGCTCCCAGACTGCTAGACCTGAGATCAAATCTCAACTTTCTGCTTCTGCCTGGGGAGCTTCCTCAAGTGACCCCACCTCTCCAAGCCTCAGTTGCTCTGCCTAGAACAGGAGAACTGATTTCACCGCGATGATGGGATGATTTCATGGCCGGGCACAGGGCTAGCTTTCTCAGTGCTTAGGGTCCGAGGGTCCCAGGCTAAGCTTCAGAGAGCAAGAAAGAATGTGGGGTGGGCTGCAGCGACCCCCAGTTCAGTCAGAAACATATCACAAAGGTCTTACTAATGTCCATGAATGCACACAGAGTCCTTCAGGTAGATAAAGGACTTGGGAGCTGCACAAGAGCAGGAACTCAGGTTTCTTTCTTTCTTTCTTTCTTTCTTTCTTTCTCTCCTTCTTTCTTTCTTTCTTTCTTTCTTTCTTTCGTACTGGGGATTGAACTCACGACTTGTGCTTGCCAGGCAGGCCCTTGTGCCACTGAACTATATCTCCGGCCCCAGGGTGACTTTATTTTGCTATAATTATGCAACAATTAAACATGATTGAACTACTGCATATGAATATGCAAAACGCTTTCGATGGTGGGGGTGTTGCTGCCATTTTCAATATTTCTAGATCGAATCATCTCCATCAGGGTTATTACTTCAGGCCCCAACACGGGACGGCTGGAATCTTCACGGGGAGACGGGAGGAAAACTTCTGCACAGCTTGAAAAAGAGCATATTTACTATTATGATACAACTTCGTGTTTGGGGAAGGGAAAGAATACCTATTGTTTTTATATAGCAAATCACAGGAAATCAAGCTGGACAAACTCTTGGTTGGCAGAAATACCCTGTGGACTGACAGTAAGGTAGCCTTGATTTAAAAATGAAATGAAGAATCATACAGCAGTTGTAGAGATCTGAGTCCTTTGCTGAGTACCTCTTCTGCTCTGCCTGGTTCCTCTATGGTGCTTAAGCAATGACTGCTTGGTTATTTAACTACTTAATGGTTTATAGATCTTAAAACAAAGATACTTAATGGTTTCTGGGTCCTGAGCTAAGCTTCCTGCTCCCGAGGAAAATCTTGCGGGGCTCTCTCCCACTTTAGGCCCTGGGTTGCCTGGGTGACTCCTCTCCCAGCATGGACTAGGCAGTGTCCTGGGCATCGCCAGACTCTCCTCCCCCTGAGAATACGAACTTGAGGGGAGGGATGGCATCTTGTCTTTATATGTCGTTTGGTCAGCACTTGTTGGGCTTCTAGCAGCTGTTCCACATATGTTTGTGGAATAAATAAATGACAGACTGAACGAAAGCACTTTGGTCCAGCACTCGGTCACCACCTGCAGAGGCAGGAAGTAGTTCTTCCCGCTAGGAAACGCACAATCAGTTGGGAAAGCAGGCGCCAGGCCCTGATCCAACTCACTCATCTGGACGGTGCCCCACCTCAATGCACCTAAGACACTTTAAAATATTCCGAGAATTTGTTTGTTTTGCTGCTACTACTTACAAAGTAGCTTCAAGATTCTGGAAAGCGGGGCCCAGCAGGAAGATAGATTAAGATGTGCGTAAGTGCCCAGACATCACCGAGACATGGGTTTCCAGAATCATCAGAGGCTTTGCTTTGACTGGCCTGATGTTGATTTAAGTGTGGCCAATGTCAGCACTGCTGCTGAGTAACCAGGTTACTCTCAATATCTGAGGTGGCCACCACTTTCTCTGACCTCTGACCTAAGGGTCACTGGGCTCTCAGCCCAGTTCAACTGCGGGGGAAGAGGGATATTCCTCTCCTTGGTCCAGACTGGCGAAAAAACCTCTGAGGCGCTGTAAGTGGGATAGAGGGCCTCACTTGATAATATCAGCAGACAAGTTTTGGGTCTGATCACAAGGAACTGTCTCCTGGGGGCTCCTTTCTGGTTCCAAGAAATGAAGATTCTTCTTGGGAGCTCTTAGGGTGGTCTTGGGACAACAATGGCTGCTGGGGTCCACCCCACCTTCCAGTCTTGGGCCAAGAGCTGGGGAGGTGGTGCTGGCCAGGGCCACACACACAGGTGAGATACTCTGAACTGAAGCTGATTTAGGAGGCAGGAAGGCAGTTGCAGTGCGAGGATGGTCAGCCTGTGCCCCGCTGGCAGAGCTGGCACACGCACATACACGTAAACGCACACCTGCACCGTCACACACGCTTCCAGTAGAGAGAGGCTGTTCCCTTCTTACTAATTATTCATTCAACTTACTATTTGGACACCTACGGTGTGCCGGCACTGTGCTAATATACATGGCTGAAGGCCTGGACATCTGTACTTAATTAAGCAGATATGCATTAAGCACCTGCTGGGCCAGGCGCATCTGGTAAACCACCCATAAAGCATCATGTCATTAAACAATCAAGCGATTATTTCTTAAGTACCAAGTAGGTACTTAGTCCAGTGTCTGACAGTCAGTCAGCACTCATTAAATGCTGGTACAGTGTATAACTATGTGCCCCACCCAGGAGAGATGCAAGGGTGACCCAGCTGAAGTCCTTGCCCTCTCTCCAGGTTCCCAGGCCCATTCTTTCCCCAACTCCAGCATGGCTACCTCATAGCTGGCACCTTTGCTGTGGGCGAGGCACATACAGCCACAGTCTCTCAGATGGGTCAAGGGACCAAGTTGGTGGCAAGGTCCCCTCTGGCTGCCTCATCTGGGGACCATCAGACTTCTGGCTGTGGAGCCACAGGAGAGTGAGGGACTCTGGGGTCGGCTGGACTCCCCTGCAGGACTTTAACCTGGACCCACCCTTTCTAGTTCTATAAGCACTAAATGTACAGTGAGGCACTTGGCCAGATCTACTGGGCTGGATGCACAGAACCAGAGTGAGGTCCCTGGCAGCAAGATGAGAGAGGGACCCATCCTGTCGCTGTGCTGTGTAAGGTAGGACCCACAATTACTGAGACACAAAGGGCTGGGTCACCGGACAGCTGCTCTGCGGTACTAACATGTGTATCCCGTGATTCCAAATGGACGTGGGGCCCCCTCACGCCAGCCCCACAGCCTGTGGGAAACCGCAGCTGCCCCACTCCTTCCCCCACTGGCCACGTACCCCTGGACAAGTCACTCAGTATCAGAAAAGGCCCAAGAGTAAACACACCTCAGAAGGGTGTGAGGAGGAGGAACCGAGGGTGCAGTTGTAAAGGACAGGTAGGATTTGGCCCTTGGCAACTGTTCACAGGCAGAAGCTGTCACTGCTATTCCAATGGCACTACAGATGGCAGACCGTGTCAGCCTGCGTCCAACCAGCCCCCCAGCCTGCTGACAGTGCCCAAGCTATTCAAGGCACCAAAATCTCCCCGGAGCCATCCCCAAACAGGACACTGTCTTCTCCTGTTTAAAGTTCAGAAGACACAAGTGTTGGGAAAACAGGTGACTTGTCTAAGGTCACACAGCCTATGCATTACCAAGTCAGGATGTGGACTCCTGTCCCTCTCACTCCAAAATCTTCATACTCCTTCAGCCCCCAGGCTGAGTCTAGCTCAGGACGCGGAGTCTAGCTCAGGACGCGGAGTCTAGCTCAGGACGCTGAGCCACTAGGCCTTCCATGAGGCCACTCTGAGCTCAGGCAGCTCAGGCAGACACATGGACACAGCACAGGGTAGAAGGGAACCCAGCCCACCACAGAACACAGAGACACCTACTTGTCCGGTACTGGATGCCCAGTGCTGTCAGGCAGGCCACCAGTCCTGCCGCCAGAAGTGCCACCAGAACTATCAGCCGCTTCTCCACCTGGGTCCGCGTGGCCCAGCACCTCTGGCTGCTCCGGGAGTTGCGGAAGTTTACCTGCAGGGAAGGAGGCAGGATGGGTAGGGGGGATGTGAGCCCAGGGTGCCCCCGCACTAGGAGGTAGGGGCTCTGGTGCAAGTTCAGGCCCTGCGGAGGCATGGTGCTGTCCTCCTGTCTTAGGGGTGGTCCAGTCCCCACAGGATCAGCCCTAATCCAGGGAAGGCACTGTCATCCTTTTTGGTAGCTGAGATTTGCTTCCAGCTCAGCCCAGTTGGCCTTGTGTTTTCTGTTACCCGATACCGGAAAAAAAAAAAAAAAAAAAAAAAAAACTATAGCGTTTCCCTGTTTCTCCAGTAAGGAGCTCAAAAAAGCACAGGATGTTTGGACTTGAGGCATCCAGCAGTGTCAGCTGGGCTCTCTGCAGAGCCCCCACATTCACAGGCTGGGGACAAGGGTAGTATGACCAAGCTCATGCTGCTGAGAGGCAAGGACACTCTCAGCTCAAGCCCTCACAATTTCACGTACAATGTGTTATTCATTCTTTGTTTACAAATGAGGAAACTGAGGCACAGAAGGGTGAGACCCTAGCTGCTCCTCACACAGCTAAGTGGGCAGAACTGGAATTTGGACCGGAGTCTGGAAATTCCAGAACCCGTGTGTGGATCAGAGATGTGGGTCTGAGGATCTGTTGGGAAAGACACGGGAGGAATGAAATGCTCCATTCAGGCAGGTCCTCAAAGGCAGAGAAAACGTCCCCAGCCTCCCAGTCTGGCTAAACAGGAAAGGAGGCACAATGAGAGGAAATGGAGGGTGTGGTGGCCCTCCGGGCTCGAGGAGCGCCAACAGGGCAGGCCCCTCACACTCAAAGCCAGTTCAGGGTTCTCCTCTCTTCCAAAAGGTGCTTCCTGCAATAGCCAGGCATGCGGGACGGGAAAGGTCTACTGGAAATGGCTTGGTTTGATGATTCCTCCTTGCACAAACAGCTGGGCACAACTCAGAGTTCTGTGGAAGTATGGAGCGGATAACAGTCTCCTTTGCTTTTGACAGCCCACAGCCCAACAGGGAGGAAGATAAAGAAAAAAGCAGGGAAAGGTGGGGGTGGGGAGGTCAGTCTGGGAAGGCTTCCTGGAGGAGGCAATATCTGGGTGGGGTCTTTAAGAATACATAGGAGCTGGCAAAGAGCACAAGCCCCAGATCCTAAGAGGTGTTGTAAGCCAGGACTTCCTCCTGAGGACTGGGAGGAGATGATTAGCATTTCCCTTTGGGAAGGGCAAGGAGGAAGCTTCAAGGCTAGGCAGGGAGTGGGACAGAGCAGAGAGACTCCTCAGGGGACACAGCATGTCAGGGGGTCCGAGGAGACCCAGATTCTGACCTGCAAAGATCCCCAAGCTGAGGAGGGGGTCCCCTCAGAGCTGGGGTGGAGTCGCTGGGCAGTCCCATACTGACACTTGGGGATCTGAGATGGTCACCGTAGGAAGGGTCACCATGCGCAGCTCTAGGAAAGAGAAAGTACTAACGACGGCTAATGAGTGTCCGAGGCTTCGCCCTGGGCAGGAAATGACAGGGACGGGGCGCCAGTCAAAGGGAATAGGAACACTATCTGTGGAAGAAAACCGGGTGCTAAAACCGAGAAACAGAACTTTAGAGTTGGTGACATTTCTGCAGCAGGCCAGGTAGAGGGAGGAAGGCCATTTTAAAGACCTTTAAAAATGTTTCTTAAAAACAAGAGAGGTGAAGATTTCTGAGCACGCTCCTCGCATTCATTACGCTTTCATGTGACACCTGGTGAAGAGAGAGACACAGAAAGCCTTCAAAGGTTCACAGAGTGCCTTTTCAGACACTGAGAGTCTCAGTTTACCTGGGGTGCCAGCAGTCAGAGTGGCCCCCAGGACTGGAGGCAGATGCTGGCTCACCTGGGGACGCTCACGTGCGTGTCCCTCTGCAGCCTGTCCTGCCCCAGATATGTCTCAGCCTTCCCTGTGCGTGGCCTCTCGTGCTCCAGGATCACAGCTCAGCTTGGAGGGTGCACAGAGGCAGTGATTTCAGTGGCTCCCCCTCTGCCAGCACCCAGAGACCAACGTTAGAGCACCAATGGCCAGGAAAAGCAGGGAAACCTCAGAGATGCTCCGGTGAGGGAACAAGGTGGGGCCAGGAGCAAAGGTATCCAAGGAGGAGAAAGGGAGAGAGGGCAGATTCCAACAGGAGGCAGATGAAAGGGCCCGAGAGGGAAGGAGAGAGCAAGTTCCAGTGGCAGCTAATATAATAAGTATCTCCGGGTTCACTCCGTGCCTACGCATTCTGTTTTGTTGTGCAATGGTGGAATTCTATCTTCGCTGCATCTCTAAGAGAAGAGACACAGGAAATGTGTGTGTGTGTGGGGGGTGAGGGGCAGAAAAGGGGACACAGCCTGGCCTTCCCGAGCCGCAGCCTCCTCCCAACCAGGCGCTCCTCAGAGGAGCAGTCAAGCTGAGCCACATTGTTCCATGTCAAGCGAAGTGCTGAATCTAAACAGATGGTGTTTGCCGCAAATTAAATTAGAATTAAGCCAGAATTGAATTAACAATTCATAGTTTCAGGCAAGAACGGCAAACGGAATTTGAAAACAGGATTTTTAACCTTTGCCACGTTCTTTGCTCAGTTTGCACTGTTGGGCCAAAAGCCCGCTGGGCTCTGGACAAGCAAGCATGATCCTAAGCATGCAGAAGACGCAGAGGTGGCTCCTGGGGGCTGGGGCTGGGGTCACCCAGGGGCACTGGGTTTGGCTCAGGGACTTCTCTAGGGGACAGGGCCCACATCATGATGCCATGGGTGTGGCTGGGGCTCCTTACAGCCATCTGGTCTCAGCTAACATCCCTTTCCTCTGAGTCCCCTCTGTGAGACCAGAAGAGGATCTCATGAGATGAGCTCACATCAAGAGGCCACACGAGCAGTTTCTCACTTTCCTTTAGAAAGTGAGCACGTCAATCATGGGACACCCGGCCGTGGCCACTCAGAGGGCAGGAGGATTAGTGGCCAGCAGCCCATCCATCTCGGGAGAGCTAAGCGGGACATGGCTGTGGGCCAGGGAGCAGGGCCGATGCCTGGAAGGTGGCGTTGAGGGTCTCTGTGGACACATCCTGCTGGTGGTCATAGTTTCCTACTCATCATGACATGAGGCAGAGACAGAATGAGACCAAGAGAAAAAGCAGGTCACCCTCCAATGAGAGTGATGAAGGGGGAGACCAAACAGAAGACAGAAGAGCTAGAGCCAGAGAAACGAGAGAGGCAGACATACAGACAGACACAGTCACAAGAGAAAGAGCTGAGCTGCTCGGCACAGGAGTTCCCAGAGTTTCCACAGCTAAGGGAACAAAGCCCTAAGCAGGGATAAAGATCGGGTTACCAAACTCTCCTAGGTTTAAAGTAAGAACAAGTTCTGCAGGTGAGGACGGGCACTTGCCTGCGGCCCCGAGAGCCAAGCTGGCAGTGAGAAGCTGGGCTAAGCCTGGTTTTCAGGGCTGGGCTGAGGGAGAAGGCACAGGCTTATGCTGAGCCACTGCCAAATCCCCCAGGGACCCGGGGCTGCAGGGAGCTGCAAACAGGAGTCCTCTGCCAAGGCCTGGCAGGGTACCCACCCCCTGCGGCCCAGAAGCCCAACACTGGGAGGACTGGCAGGGGCACCAGGCTGCCAGCCTCAGGGTCAGCCTTTTGGAGGAGGCAGACCGTGAGAGCTCAGTCTGGCGGGGCCTCTGTGATGGTGTCAGCCTGGGGAAGTTTCGTCCAGTAAAGTTCCATGAGGTGGACTCTGGTGGAAGCCACGAGGTCAGCTCAGAGCACAATTATGATGTCCTCTTGTTCCTCAGGTCAGCCTGACCGCTTATCTGCCACTGTGCCTGTGTCTAACCTTCCTCACATGACTGGTAACAGCTCCAAATATTCCCCTTCGTAGGTGAGAGGGTGTAAAAGGAACCGAACCTCAAGAGCAATCACAGTCTGGTACTTAGGGGTATTTAGCGTTTCTTTGCTTCAGTGGGACACTTAGCTAACCATGGCACATGGGAGAAAGATCAAATCCCCGAGAGGTCAAAGGCCAGCATGACCCCACTGTGTGTGCCCGGGCAGCCTTGGACCTCAGGCTGCCTTCTCTAAAATGAGGAAGCCAGGATGAAGTCTCAGGTGTGACCATAGTACCAGAACTAGTGGACAGAATTGAAAGGACCTCATGGTAAGTACCAAGTGGCTCAGCCTCCAAAGATGGCCCTGGCAAGGTGAGAGAGAGAGAGAGAGAAGCAGACAGACAGACAGACAATTAAGCACTTAAATTCCTCAGCTTTCTTTTTTCTTAAAACAAACACAGACTTCGAAAACAAACTGGGTGAGTCTCAAAAGTTTGGTCTGTCAGTTCCCAGACTGGCTGCAGGAGTGACCTTGGCTATTTTACTGAAGATCTGTGCTCAGGTATGGTGGGATCAGGCACTGGCTGTGGCAGGGCTGAGGTTCTGAATGGGGAGAGCACTTCCATGAAGGAATCACTCAGCTGTTACCACAAGGATTGTGCTAGCAACCAAATCCATTTTCCGAGTGCTACACCATCTCAAATGACTGCCGCAGCTTGGAGAGGTGAATTAAAATGGTAACCCATTTTATAAAGAAGGCCCTGAATTGCCTTCAGGTATCACAGCCCATGAAAGCCAGAACTAGGGCACCAAGTTAACGGCTGTGTGGCTTTAAATTCTGTCCTCGGTTCGAAATGACTCATTTTAGTGGATTGCAAGTCATTTGTGCCTAAAATGGGCTAAAGGAAAAGAAAAATTCTTGAGATATGGTACAGATAGTACTTCCCCCCAGCTATACTCAACGTCAATCAACACATCCAGGAGTAAAAGTGCCAGGGTTAGCTGAGAAACGGAATTTTCCACTTATTACATATTGGTGCTCAGTTTTCCAACGGACTTCAAAAACCAGGAAACCTCAGGCCTGGTGTGGTGGTACAAGCCTGGAATCCCAGCAGGGGAGACCGAGGCAGGAGGACTGCTGCAAGTTTGAGGCCAGCCTGGACTACATAGCAAGACCCTGTCCTCCATCTCCTCAAATCTTGAAACATGGAAGAGCTTATCTATATAACTGCCGATCAAGAAAAAAAAGACTTGGGATATAGCGTGTGTTTTTAAAAGACTAAATTGAGGGTACAATTGTGTTTCTAGCCATCAATCTTCAGGAAATAATCGGGAAGGCTAAAATATAGTCCTTCATAGTGTGACAACCATTGGGTCTAAGCTGCCCAACTATACTGGATTGGATTGAATATTTTTTTATACATTGTTAGCACAAAGTGTTATGTTTTAGATTTTTTTTTTTTTTTTTTGCGGTACCAGGGATTGAACTCACGACCTTAAGCTTGCCAGGCATGTGCTTATGCCACTGAGCTGTATCCCCCACCTGCCTGCCTGCTTGCTTTCATTTTTGAATAGGCCTGGAGATTGAACCCATGGCCCTTCAAACTGAACTATATTTCTAGTCCTTTTTTGTATTTTAAATTTTGAGACAGGCTCTTGCTAAATTGTTAAGGTGCCAGGGCTCAAACTTGCAATCCTGGCTCAGCTTTGCCAAATGCTGGGATTATAGAAATGTGCCACTGTGCACAGCCACATTAAAAAAAATTTTTTAAAATGTTTTATTTCTTCCACAAATGAGCATTATAAAGCTTTTATTCTGAAAAACCTCAATGACTGAAAATATGCCATTAACAGAAAAGCACTCCTAATTGAGGAGACCAGGTCCTGATTCAGCACAGCAAACTCTGGCCAGTGGCACTGGTTCTGGGGAAGGTATGCAGGCTCCCACAGAAATGCCCCAAATCCTTAGGCAACCTTTTTGCTTTTTTCTTGCTTGGAAGGCAGAAAATATACCCAGTAGGACAGCTTGACACAGGGACACCAACACTGAACTTCCACGCATACAACAGTGATGTGACCATAGAAATGTCCCTAAACTTCCTCTGCACCCCAACTTCACCATGAGTACCCGAGGCCTTACCTCCTAGCAGACCCCAGAATCCGACTCTAACTCATCTCAGAGATGAGGGAATTATGACTGAAAGAGACTTGGCAGCCTGTCCAAGGTTATGTGTGGAGTCAGATTCAAACTGGGTCCCTCGTACCCCAAATCCATGCTCTGCCAGAGGTCTCACCTGTCTATAAACTCAAGCGGCTGCTGTTGTAACAATAGGGCACATTATTATTATTGTTGGTTCTGGGAATCGAACTCAGGACCTTGTGCTTGCCAGGCAGGTGCTTGTACTGCTGAGCCATATTATCCCCAGCCCAATAAAGCACATCATTTTGTTGTTAATTCTGAGATGCTTTTGTGCTGATATGTTTAGAACCTTCTAAGATGAAAGATGAGAATGAAAAGCTTGCTGATTATATTCTGTTTTGATTTGGGAAGGGAAAAGTGCCTGCTACAGAAAAATAATTTCCTGCTGGATTTAGCTTCTTAAGAATAATTCACAGGGAAGAGTCTAGACAGTGGGGATTTGTCGCTCCTAGATTTCTAGCTCTGTGACTGACCTGAGGCAAGCTGTCTCCCCTCCTACAGCCTCAATTTCCTTCCCATTGGCAGTGGTCCTGAAGCGGTAATGGACTGATGGAGGTAGGGGTGCCATCTCCCACCATAAAAAGCCCATGGGTTTATGAGTTCAGATCCCCTGGCCCGGGAGAAGGTTCCCTCACTGTTTGCTAATATCATTCCAGCCTGAAGAGGTGTGCCGTCTAGGGTTGGGCCTGGCAGCTGTCTCCACTCTTCCTAAACTTGCCCTAGGGATGAACCAGGATTAGGTGTCAGTTCATCAACTGGCTAAGGATTATCAACACATCCCTTGGTCCATCTGGCACAAGTCCTCCTGGACTAAGGTGTCAAAGCTTTTCTCCCCACGCTGGTTCCCAGATCGCCGTCCTCCACCCCCCAGCTCGGGTGTTCACATTTCCAATTCGTTCCCACCCACATCCACCTGCGCTGAGCACCTGGGCACAAGTGTCCCAGGGCAGCCCCACAGAGCGCAGCTTTGTGACAGAGGGCCACAGGGCCAAAAGTGGTCTGTGCTTATGTTAAGAGACCCTCAGAGCAGCGCAGGAGGGAAGGAACTGTGCTTCCTGGGTGGGCTGAAAGGGGAGAGGGAGTGACCTGCAGAAGCTGTCCCAACCGAGGAAATTCAGGTGTGTGTGGGGGGATAGGAATAATGCCCACCAAATAGGGTGACGGTGTCTCAGGTGTCCAGGGCTGAGCACGGGGTCCTGGGATGCAGAGCTTTCCGTGCTAAGATGGGGACAGTGTTAGACTCTGTCACTGCTGTCCTGTGTGACCCTAGGCACCCCGCACAGCTTCTTTTGTAAAAAGGCCCCAGGACCAGCGCAGGTCTGTAGAGTGCTTCAATTCTGCGACCTGGACCTGGACTGTAGTACCGAAACAGGTGGCCCGGTGGCTTTGAAGGATGTGCAGGGCTGGTGAGGATGGCGTGGGGGAGCCTGGAGCCTCAAGGGCGCTGCTGCTGAGTTAGGGATCCTCCTCCAGGCTCACAGCTGCGGGACGCGCCCCCCACCTTCTACAGGCAGGCAGGATGGGGGCGGGGCGGCGCCAGCGCGCATGCCCAGGCCTGGGCCGACCGAGCAGGCGGGCGGGGCTCCTACCTGCAAGCCATTGGGGTACACTTCGCCCTCGGAGAGCGAGTCCACCAGGTCCTCCTCGTCCAGTGTGGCCCGCTTGTAGGTCGACATCTGTAAGGCCAAATGCAACACAGACTCTCTGAGTGCCTCCATAGCCTGCGCGCTCGAATGGAGAAGCGGCCCGGCGCCGCCGCCGCCTTCGCGCCCCGCCCCGGCCGGGACACCCGAGACCGAGACCGGCCCCACGGCCGCGGCCGCCCCTTCCCGCCCTCTGCCCGCCCAGGACGCCGCGCCTCACCCCCAGGGCCGACAGCACGGCGGCCACCGGGTGCGGCGGCCACACGCCCCGCATGCTGCGCCCCCGACGCGCGGTGCCCGCGCCGCCACCGTGCTGAGCGGCTGGCTGGGCGTGCCGGGCGCGACGCGCCACCTTCGCGGGCGGGGCCTGGCCATGCACGGCCTGTTCCCTCCCAGGAAGATCCCACCAGGCCCTGGAGTCCTGGGGAGGTGGGGGACCCCTTCCTACCCGAGGGATCTGGAGACCGGGGGCTCCCAGCTCAACACCCCATGAGGCAGGAAGGGGCTTCGCAGACACCTCCCTTGAGAAGTCTTAAGTCTACCTTTAATAGTGGGGTCCCCATTGGCAGACACCAAGTTAAGTCTGCGATGATAATAATGGAGAGAGGTTTGACCACCATCAGCCCTTAGGTGGGGTGGGGCAGAGGTGAGATAATAAAGTTCCCACCCCCTAACTTCTGTTCCTCTAGTTCAGGGGCTTTTATGCCATAGTTCATGAATGAATAACAGAAAATTCCAGGAAACTCCCCCTGACAGCAGGAGCACTGCTGTGTGCATTTGGGTGGCTAAAGAGTAATTCAGAGCCTCTACACCCCTCAAAGGCTGTGGTCTTCAGGTCAACACAGAATCATTGATTTGGCCTTGGCTGGGTGTAGGTCACCTCCAGCACCACAAAACAAACAGAAAGCAAAACAAAGAAAAACCCTGCTTTGGGGTAGCTCAGAAACCCCAGTAAGCCAGAGGGGTAGGGTGGCTCAGGCAGGTAATCCCTGCTACTCTGTAGGCTGAAGCAGGAGGATGGAGACTTTGAGCCCTGCCTGGGCACTTTGGCAAGGCCCTGTGTTGAAAAAGAAAATAACACTAGGAATGTAGCTCAGTGTGAAGGCCCTGAGCTCAATCCCTGGTAACAATAAAAAAGAAAATGAGAAAGAAAGAATGTTATTTGTCAATTAAAAATTAAGAACATATTGAAAAAACAAACCACAACGGCAAAGAGACCCTCAGCTCCCACTTTCCCTCTTAGTAGACAGTTTTGAGCCAGCCCAGCCTAAAGCCTCTCCAGTGACCCTAGCTGAAAGGTGTCAGGTGCTCAGGTAGGGAGACTCAGCTCCATGACACTCCCTCCTACTCCAGAAATGCCTTAGTGGTTTCCCAAAGAACTCTTCCAGTAAGACTTGGAATTCCTGCATCTAAAGTATTTTTTAGCTTTCCACAGTGCCCTTCTGAACATTCCCAACTTGATTCTCCCGAACATACACGAGTGCAAATGAACAGTCTGGAGGTGGCGAGGCGAGGTGGAGGTCTGGGGCTCAGCGGGACCGGGTTGACTCCTGACCCTTTGCCAGCTGCCACACCCACCCTCTTCCAGCTCACTCTGCAGCCACAGCCCGTCTTTAAAAGCCAACGCCAGTGCGTGTTTCCGCAGCACATGTACTAAAAACCCAATTCCCATCTTGCCACCCCCAGGCTGTTCCTGGAATAACATCCTGACCCATTATCAGGCTCCCACAGTCTCTGCCCACTCCTGAATCTCCACTCAGGCCGCTCCCCCACTCTCCTACCCAGGCTCGAAATGTCTTCTTCGGCTTTCACTCAGTTCCTCAAATAGTCCAAGTTGCCTTTTCCCCTAAGACCTTTGTAGTTGATGCTCCTGTCTGGAGCATTCTTTCCTCATTTCTGCTGCTTCTGGGACAGCACCTGCTTCAGGACTCAGCTAAATGCCACCTCCTCAAATGTCCCATTCACCCTAAGGAGCTCCCTAAATTCTCCATGACAGCAGCCTGTTTATTTTCCTTTATGGTATTTACTGCAGTCGGTTAGTTTTTATTGTTGTTTTGAATGTCTTTATGGTCCGCCTGCCTCCGCCTTCCCCAGAATTGCAAGCTTGCTAGCAGGGTGGGGCTCTCGTCTGGTCTGTCAGATAGGTTCTCAACAAAGTTGTTAAATGAATAGTAAAACAAGCCTGTGTGAGTGTGTGTGAGACATCTTTAAATTCTAGTGAACCTTCCTGAGTCTAACTTTGTAAAGCCTAAGAACAAAAGACACGTGTTCAAGGGGCACAGGCCTTGGGCCAGGAGGGTGCAGGATCCAGGAAGAATCTTAATTTTTGAAACTTCTGCGTCACTGGGTGGAAGTTGGCCCATTAGTGCCCTCCCCAAGAAAGGACTCAGGAGTGCTTCATTCTTTCTGGATTCTAGCTGGGATTTTTCTAAACCAAGTCACTTGGTTACAGAAACAGGTGTTAGTCATCAGGGAAAAAAGCCCTTGAAATGCATCTCCCCTGGGCATTGAGGTAGCATGAGTCCTCGGTCGCTTGGTACCCAGTCCCTTTGCCAGTCCTCAGACGCAGGTGTTATTGCCCTTTTTATGGAAAATGAAACTGGGGCTCAGGGAAGTGACTTGTGTGGTAACACCTCCTTCTCCTTCCTTCTGGCCTCAGAGATCTCCCCTTCTGGGAACAGCCCCTAAGCACCCTCCCCAGGCTCACGTTCACTCCCCTGTTCTGTCCCCAGTGCCTAAGCCACCCAGCCCTCCACTCACGCTGCACACAGCACTCCAGACAGGAGAGTCCTGAGGGCACAACGGGATCCCCCTGGCGTCTGAGCAGAGGTGGTGGCCGGGAGCCCATGCTTGGGGCCAAGGCCAGCTGCCTCCCACCCATGTCCACCCACTGCAGTTGTCTGAGGCTGGAGGGTGCAGGAAGCACACCCACCTCCCAGTGACGGGAATCAGCGAGCTGTTTCTCAACACACAGAGAGCAGCCCCTTCCTGAGGGGCCTGCCTGGGGCCGCCCCAGATGCAGAAAAGGCTCAGCCAGCCCCAGGTGGGGAACACCAGGGTCCCAGAGGGTGTGTGACGTCATACCAACAGTGGCAGCCCTGCCCAAGGCCTTCCATACGCGGGATCTCCGTACCCATCTGAGCCAAGGCTCAGCAGCTATTTCCATTTGACAGGGAGGGAAGGGCAGAAGGAGGGCAGAACAGACCCGACATCTATTGTGTGCCGCCTGCCAGGACGTGTCTCTCCTTCCTTCAGGGCCTCACCTCTCCCTGGCAGAGTCCTCCTTAGGAGTAGGTGACTGAGGGATGGGTGGAGGCAGCACTTGCCTCCTGTCCCCTGCCTCAGAGGGAGAGCCAGGATGTGACTGTCCCCTGCCCGCCTCCAAATCCCACCAATCCTGACTTCACCATGCTGCCGCCAGAGCCCAGGCCACACAGCTGGGCCTCGAACCCGGGTCCTGGACTCAGATCCCAACTGTCTGTGGAAGGCAGCTGCTTCTCAGGTGGGTACTTCACAGTCCAGCAGGCTGGGCGGCCATGCCTTTTGTCCCTGATGGTCTCATTTGCAGTTGTGGGGGCCATAAAGGGTGGCAAGCTTTGGAAAGGAGGAGTACTTTGTGGGAGCCTCCACCTCGGAGAAAATCTGAGTTGAACCTGATGAGAAGGGCTGGGCTGTGACCAAGAATGAAGAGGCAGGAACCATAGCTCCCCACAGATGCCTGTGTGCAGTCCCCGGCCCTGCTGCACGGGCCCAAGGCAGTGACAGAAAGCAGAGGAGGGTGTGGTGAGCGCTCCGGAAGCCTCATCCTGCCAATGAGAAGTATTTCTCAGAAATGAGACGTTTCTGACAACCAACACTTTGTGGCGTGGTGGCACCTGGCGCGTCCCATTCGCCCTGTCTTGTCATTCAGAAGGCTCTTGTGGTTGGGTTGTCAAAAGCAGGCGATCTTAAAGGAAGAGCCAACAAAGACCAGCTGTGTGAGTGTCATTCTCGATGGCCACACCCTCCGAGCTGTTCCCAAGCCGCATCTCTGCAAACTGCTGGCCTTGTGGCCAAGGGCCCTCTAGCCCCCACTCCTGCTTCTGCTGCAAGTGAAGGGCTGGGACCCTTGAAGTCCCTCCACAGCACCCAGTACACCCTCATGGGACCTGTTAGCTGGGTGCTTACAGTCAACAGCCACAACAGTACAGGTTCCCATTGTGCCACTTTCCAGCTTGTGACCTTGGACACGTGACTTCATCTTTGTGTCTCAGTGTCTTATCTGTAAAATGGGGATGATTTAACACAGCACCTCCCTCACAGAACTGGTTTATTTATTTATATTTTTGGTACCAGGAATGGGTCCTGTGCCTACCAGGCAGGCGCTGTGCCGCTGAGCTATATCCCCAGCCCTCTTACAGAGCAGGTGTGACACCTCAGTGAGTTATTACAGAAAAGTGCTGGGCCCACAGCACACGCCCACTCAGTGCCAGCTGGTACTGGGTATCGTCATTACTTACAAAACACAAGCCCTCACTTGGTCCCCACCACCTGAAGACAAACTCTAAGCTCTTTGGCTTGGCACTCGAGGATCCCCAGGTAGCCAGGACCTGCCTAACTAGGCTCATCCTTCATGCAATCTCATGCATATGGCCACATCGTGACCCTGACCCACCTCTGCAGCATTCCATACCTACCTAGTGCCGGATGCTTGTCAGCCCCAGTAAGACGAGGTCCCTACGTTTCCTCCTCCTCCCCTGCTTCCCTCCCTCCCCCTTCCCCTTCCCGCCCTTCCCTCCTCTGGTAGGGATTGAACCCAGGGCCTGGCACACTGTAGGCATGTACTCTACCACTGGGCTACCCCCTCCCTCAGCCCCGTTCATTTCTTTTAAAACTTACAACAAATCTTTGCAAAAGGAAACTGCTCCTTTATTTTTTATAACGGGGGGCAGCCTATATCGTCTTTTCTTCCTTGGCTGCCTGGATGATCATACCCAAATCATTTATCAGCCCTTTCCTGGCCTTAATTCAGCTTTTTCTTTGTCCTCATTTCCATTCTATTTTCTGATCCTAACTTTCCATTTCTAGATAGCATGACAAGCTGTTGAATGTATTTTGGTCACAGCCCATCATGAATCCCACAAACGAATTTGAAATACCCTGTATCAAGGAGCCGTCTTTCCCTAACTCGCTCCATTAGAAACGCAGCTTCAAGGTACTGACCCGACGCGGAGGACAGAGGCGGTAAAGGCAGACCTGGGCCCGGTCCGGGTCGCCTGGCTCATGTGACTGTAGGCATATGGTTTTCCATCTCAGGCCTCAGTTTTCCTGTCTGTAAATGGAAGTTTTCTTGTTGTGAAGATGGAACTGCCTGGCACACAGCAGGCC